ATTTCAGCTGAATTTCTTTATGAAAAGCAAAACCTTTTCTCAAATTGCGAACCAATTTGGAAATTGTTTTTCAGGTTTAAAATTTAAGACAAAAAACTTTGCTCAACTTGCGCTTGCCGTGTGCCTCGCAGCTTTTGGTGGCTGCCAAGCGCGAGTAACTGGATGACTGCCACTGCTTGACGCGGCAACACTACCCGAATGCCTGCCAGCCAGCCAGCCTGCCTGCGATGGTGGGCGCCAGCTGGAGGTGGAGCTTGCCTGGCTGGCTGGCTGTTAGCCAAAAATTGTAGCAGCACGGTGTCAAAATTCAATTTACGCATTATTATGCGTACATAAATGAGTCGACGCCCTGACGCCCCTCTGTCCCTGTCGCCCTCTCGACTGCTGCCTTTTGAGAACACCAAAGCAGTTCTCAGCTACTTTGACTACCATGTTGCTGTGCGTCCTATGCGATTCTGGCTACCTACTTATTGTCGCCGTGACAGCTAAAGAAGGGAAAAAGAGTGTCAGGCGGCAACAGCAGCAACAGCAGCTCGAGTAGCTGCGGCAGCATGTCGCGAATTGTGGCTACAGTGGAACCACTGAATGAATTATTGCCGATGCCAACGCTGTCAAAGACGACGTTGCGTAAGACCTTCGCTTATGGGTGTGTATGGGTGTGTGTGGCTGTGCGTGACTGTGCGTGTGTGTGATAAGAGTAAGAGAGCTTTTCAGTTGCAATTCCAATTTCAATACCTTTACTTATAAGCGGAACGCTTTTCGAACAGTTTTTGAATTTAGTGATACATGGAAATCTGCCTAGGGGCTAGGCCTACTGTCAAACTAGAAATTGTCAACATAGTTTTCAAAACGAGAAGTGAATCACAGTTAGCTACTGGGCGGCTAGACCTATTAACGCCTGGGGCTTTTCAGCTGCAGTCGCTGCACATCGCGTAAAACAAACTATTTTTCCTACAGCTACGAAGCAAGTTGAGATTCATTGAAATTAGTCGACATGGCTATCTCAAAGTTGGGTATTCTAAAACAAATATTATGCAATGCTTGGGCTTATTTTAATTGAATCACAGACTTGGACTTTGAGTCTTGCTGCCTAAGTTCATTCAAATTGACAACAAACAACAAGCATTTGGCGAGGCATAATCGGCCAAGTTGTAAACTTAATTGCTTTGCTGTTTCTCTCCGAGTTCATTTTTCATGCCGCATTATGAAAAAGTTGTAAAAGAACATTTTTCTGCTGCCCCAATAACTAGGCTATAGTTTTTTTTCATTCATATGCCTCAACAGAAGCATAAAATGGAAACGTAAAACGTAAACTGGAAAACGAGTAACGGGAAACGGGAAACGGGAAACATAAAGCACCAGCAGAGGCAGCAACAACAAAGTGTAGTGTGTGAAGCTGTAGGGAGTGAGTGACCAGCACATACCATGTATAAAGTAAGAGAAGTCCAAAGAGAACAACGCTGCAACAGGGTATCCAAGTTGAAGTAAAGACTATAGTTCTTCGCTCTACAGACGTTCAAGCGAGCGAATAAGCCGACGGGCAGAGAGATGGACGGAAAGTCGGAATTTCTCGGCTCTGGATCCAAATACCCTGAAATCTCCTTTGCTAGGGGTATACCAAATATATGTATGTTAAGTAGGACGGATGGTCGAAAGCTGGATCTCGTGCTCCCACAAAGAGTATAAATATATAAAAGTATATATATTTATTAAAATTTAGTTCACCCACTAGTTATGGTCGCCTGAAAGTGGTCTGCCGATATGAGAAACTTATGATATGTGAAGCGAACTTTGCATAAATTAGCATTCGCCTATCTCAGTTCAGTTCTAAGCTCTTACAAGGCCAAACCGACTGTAAGACAGACAGAGCAGACAAAGAGATAGAGAGAGAGACAGAGAGAGAAAGGGAGAGAGAGAGAGAGCGAGAGAGAGAGAGATAGAGACAGAGAGAGAGAGAGATAGAGACAGATAGAGAGTGTGTTGAACAAACTTGTTCACAATTTGATTACACCCCTTTGACCTCGTTGGCAATGCATACAGGGTATATATACATATATATATATATATATATATATATATATATATATATATATATATATATATATATATTTATATATATATATATGAATAAAAAGGAAAAGGAAATAGGAAAAAGGAAACCGAGAGACAGGAGCGCCAACAACCATTTCAAAAGCAATTAAAAATGTTTAATACATACAATTAAAGTTTTTAATGGACAGCCAGGCGCGAGTGACTTGTGTGCATTGAGAGTGGCTGGGCGCGTGGATGGAGCAGTGGTGGGCGTATGATGTCAAAAATCAAACCATTTTGCGACTGGTAATTCAATCAAAATTCATTCAACACGAAATTAAATTTCGCCAACTGTAAATTTCATTGGCCAAGGGTTGCCTAGCGTAGTGGCGTGGCGAGAATATGACTAGAAATTTGACGTATTGTGAGCGCCCTTCTCATAAGCCTTTAAGCCTTTAAGTCCCTGTGGTGGCTGCCAGGCATAATTTTATTAAACGGTTTTCTATTGTCGACTTAATCAGAGAGTTGTCCAGGCTCTCATTCTCTCCAGCTCTCCATCTGGTTCAGGTTCTATTCATCCATCAAACTGAATGATGGTGTGTATGTGAGCCTATCTATCTAGCTATCCATACAGGCAGCCGGCCATCCAGCCATCCAGCCATCCAGCCATTCAGCCATCCAGCTAGTCAGTCAGGCATCTATCGATCTATCTGCGGGCTGGTAATTGAATGCATGTGGGGGAAAAACTGTTGATAAAATTAGCAGCACCTCCTTTTCGGCGTTCAAATGCAAATAGCAGAAATAAAGTGATGAAAAAGTTAATTAAACTTTTTGATGAGATTTCCAGATTTTAGCATTGAGAGGTAGCTCGCTACCCTGCTGCACAGACCCCTCCATTGACAACGCAACAGATCCCACCACAGACACCGCCGCCTCATCAGACCTTCCGCCTCTAGCTTTGCGTTCTCCTTCCTCACAGACTCCTTCACAAATGCCAGTACAGATCCCACCACACACTTCCCACTTGGCCCCTTCTATAGACTCCTCCACAGACGTCAACGGACGCCTGGTCTCTTCCTGCTCTTACCCTCCCATCTTACTTCTCACTTCCCTCTTTCACAGATGAGAACGCAAGCCCCAACAGTCTGCACTTCTGCCTACCCCTCTCTTCCTGCTATCTCCCGTCTCTCTAGATTTCTAAGCAGACCCTTCACAGACCCCAACGATTCCGCTCTCTATAGACTCCTCCTCTGCTTAGAGACTGCCCAACGCATTTCTCTTAGACTTACGTTGGGCAAAACTTTCGACACACACTCATGCTCTCTCACTGGCTCTCTATCTCACCCTCTCTCTCCCTCCGTCTCCCGCTGGCTCTGTCATTTTTGCCCAAGTTATGTTTGTTCAAGTGTCGGCTCACTCAACTTTCAAGTTTCAACTTTGACATGTCATTCACATTCGCCTGTCGCCTGTCGCCTGGAGCTTTTTTTCGTGGCTTCCATGCGCAAAACTTTCTAAATTATCGCTGGTCATTGTTTTACAAACTAAGCAACGCATCCTGCGAATTCCTTGACATCCTTTGCCAATGCCAACTGAACCCTCACCCCGCAACCACCGCCTCTCACGTCTGCTTTTCATTATTGCAAAATGAGCTATAACTCGAAGCCTTTTCAAATCGATATTATTGAAGCCGTGGCTGTTGCTGTTGCTGTTGATGGGGTAAACATCCCTTTCCCTTGGCCTTTGGGGAATACATATGAATTAATTACAATGGCTCTGCCCCTCATGAAATAATGAAAAATATCGTTTCATTCCAACTCATTGCTTGGCTGTTCGCACCAAAATTGGAAGCGAGTTAGTATCAAGTTCGAATTAATAATGTTAATCATTTTTAATGCTGTCCCGCCCAAGAGAGAGTAGCTCAGTGGCCAGGCAAACAATTAGCTTAAGCTTCGGTTCCAAGTTTTCGTTTGCACAATCAAAAGCTGACAAACTTTGCAAGTGCCGATGAGATAGGAAGAGACCTTTCGATACTCTGTGAGAAGCATTGAAATGGGGTATACGAGTTGCCTGCTCTAGTGTGTGGAATATGAAGAATACGGCCTGGTCGCCTAGTCGACCCGAGCCTGCTCAAGTGCTTAAGCCTAAGCCATCAATCATTCAGTCAATTTGTTTGAGGTGCAAAATGATTTAATTTAAAGCCAATTTCGAAATTGTTTGGAAGCTTTTTAGGTACCTTTAAATGTGTCAATTAGCGAGCTCGGCCGGCTCTATGGCAACACCAGCTGCGACCGTTGCTCACATGTCTCATAATTAGGCCGGATAAAAATGTGAAAAGCATTTCGAACAGGTCTGCAATACTTGAAGCAGCCACCAGCCTCCACCAACAGCAATTACCACCTCGCATCGCACTGGGCCTCGGGGCTTACCACCAATTGAGCGGCTCTGAACACCTCAGCCACAGACCGCCACACCACCACACCACCACACCAGCACACCACCACACCTCTGACTCCCCACCTCGAGCGACACTTGATAACCTAATAAAGCTAGGCACGTAAGCAGCGTTCAGGCGCTGGCTAATCTGTAATTAATTGGCGTACATATCTGTAAACAGGACACGCACAAAATGAGAAGCCTGCCCTGAGGGGCGTTCCAGTAAGAGCCTTCTACACATTATCGACGGCCACGTAGTTCATAGTATAAGGCTACAGGAGGCAGGCCTCTCTCTCTGTCTAGCTCCCTCTCTCACTTTCCATCTCTTTCTCTAATTAACGTATGCTAAAGCATTTATTTGTCCCATTCTCTGAAACATGGCTAGAGCATGGCTAGTGGAATGCGAGTCGACAGTTCATAAGCCAGAACTATGTTGGGCGGGAGAGACCTCTTCCATTGCTTTAGATTGCTTCAATGATCGATCCCACAGACCTTTCTGCTCACCTTACTTATGCTTAATCTCTTGATCTTTGCAGCCATTTTGAGCACATTGTGCAAGGAATTTCTGCGCGTCAATGTCTCTGCCATTCTGTATATGATGAACAACGAACAGTTCGGTCACAGCACCGCCTCGGCACAGTACTTTCTGCAGCTGGCCGGATATCTGGGCATACCAGTTATCTCCTGGAATGCGGACAATTCGGGCCTGGAACGTCGCGCCTCGCAGTCGACGCTGCAGCTGCAGCTGGCGCCGAGCATTGAGCACCAAAGTGCAGCCATGTTGAGCATATTGGAGCGTTACAAATGGCATCAGTTCTCAGTAGTCACCTCGCAGATCGCTGGTCACGATGACTTCGTGCAGGCGGTGCGCGAACGTGTGGCCGAAATGCAGGAGCACTTCAAGTTCACAATACTCAACTCGATTGTGGTGACACGGACAAGCGATCTGATGGAGCTGGTGAATAGCGAGGCGCGTGTCATGTTGCTCTATGCCACACAGACGGAGGCAATTACTATACTACGTGCCGCCGAGGAGATGAAGCTGACCGGCGAGAATTACGTGTGGGTCGTTAGTCAGTCAGTGATTGAGAAGAAAGATGCGCACTCACAGTTTCCAGTTGGCATGCTGGGCGTACACTTCGACACGAGCAGTGCAGCGTTGATGAACGAGATATCAAATGCGATCAAGATTTATAGCTATGGCGTCGAGGCGTACCTAACAGATCCAGCGAATCGTGACCGACGCCTGACCACGCAGTCGCTGTCCTGCGAGGACGAGGGTCGCGGACGCTGGGACAATGGCGAAATGTGAGTATCGTGGCTAGTCGCCACGTCTTGGCTAAACTCTCGGGTGGTTAATGTTCTTGCTCAGCTTTTTCAAGTATTTGCGTAATGTGTCCATCGAGGGTGATCTGAACAAGCCAAACATTGAGTTCACTGCCGATGGCGACCTCAAGTCGGCCGAGCTCAAGATCATGAATCTGCGACCCAGCGCCAACAATAAGAACCTCGTCTGGGAGGAGGTAAGTGCCACGCGTTCTGCATGAGCCTCACCTTCAGCTTAATGAATCTCACATTTGAATGACTTGACTTTCCAAATTACCTTTCTCTCTCTCACGCACTCACTGTACAAATCACATCCATCCACAATCCTATTCTCCCCACACACACGGAACGCTTTTATATAATTGCAATCGATTTTCTTTGGGGTGGGGGTTGGGTATATCACTCACACACTCACTCACTCGCTCGCTCGCTCGCTGACATTAACACACAGATCGGAGTGTGGAAGTCGTGGGAGACACAGAAGCTTGATATACGCGATATTGCTTGGCCAGGTAACTCGCACGCTCCGCCGCAAGGTGTGCCCGAGAAATTCCATTTAAAGATCACATTCCTCGAGGAGGCACCCTATATCAATCTGTCACCCGCCGATCCAGTAAGCGGCAAATGTTTGATGGACCGCGGTGTGCTGTGCCGTGTGGCGGCCGATCATGAAATGGCCGCCGATATTGATGTGGGTCAAGCACACCGCAACGAGTCCTTCTATCAATGCTGCAGCGGCTTTTGCATTGATCTACTCGAAAAGTTTGCCGAAGAATTGGGCTTCACCTACGAGCTGGTACGGGTTGAAGATGGTAAATGGGGTACACTTGAGAATGGTAAATGGAATGGTTTAATTGCCGACTTGGTTAATCGCAAGACGGACATGGTACTCACATCTCTCATGATCAACACCGAGCGCGAAGCGGTTGTCGATTTCAGTGAGCCCTTCATGGAAACGGGCATTGCCATTGTTGTGGCCAAACGAACGGGCATCATATCGCCTACGGCCTTTCTGGAGCCTTTCGATACGGCCTCTTGGATGCTGGTAAGTCACAAAAAATAGTCTGACTCTATGCTCCGGTAAGTCCTCACTCAAAACTACTTTATACGCTCTCTCTCTCTCTCTCTCTCTCTCTCTTTCACACACACTTGCGCGCTCCCACTCTATCCTGCTACGCCTTGGCTTCGGACGTACCCGCTTCTCCCATCTCCCATCCGCCAACTCCCACTTCCCATTTCCGACTTCCCGTCCCTAATTGAACACATCAGGTGGGTATCGTCGCCATTCAAGCAGCCACATTTATGATTTTCCTGTTCGAGTGGCTATCGCCCAGTGGCTATGATATGAAGCTTTATCTACAAAACACGAACGTCACGCCGTATCGCTTCTCGCTGTTTCGCACGTATTGGCTTGTCTGGGCGGTGCTCTTTCAAGCCGCTGTTCATGTGGATTCACCGCGCGGCTTCACCTCGCGCTTTATGACCAATGTCTGGGCTCTGTTTGCTGTTGTCTTCCTTGCCATCTACACTGCCAACCTGGCGGCCTTCATGATAACCAGGTTGGTTGACTTTTCTCTACTCTAGTCTAGTCCAGTCCAGTGCATTCTCAATCGGTTTCTCTCACACCTGCTTGCAGAGAGGAGTTCCATGAGTTTAGTGGACTCAACGATAGCCGCTTGGTGCATCCGTATTCGCACAAGCCCTCGTTCAAGTTCGGCACGATACCCTACAGCCACACGGACTCCACCATACACAAGTACTTTAAGGACATGCACTACTACATGAAGCAGTGAGTAACGTCTTTTAGGATCTTTTGATGACTTTAGCTCTGATCTCAATTCCGATTCGCATAACAGATACAATAAGACAAGCGTGGCCGATGGCGTTGCCGCCGTACTGAATGGCAATCTGGACTCGTTTATCTACGATGGCACTGTGCTGGATTATTTGGTTGCCCAGGATGAGGATTGTCGCCTGATGACTGTGGGTAGCTGGTACGCAATGACAGGTAAGCATCACTCACTTTTATTTTCCTGGTATTACATGCTTCTCCTTGGTTGGTAGTTATAATCCTTGCTTGCCATTCTTCCTTTCTAATTGTCCTTCCTTGTTATCCTTCATGATTGCCCTTCTTTGTGTTCTTTGCTTGATTTCTTCCACCGATTTCCTATCTTGTAATCCTTCCTTGGTTTCCTTTATTTCCTTTTAATTTCTCTTTCCTTTCCTTCCATGAGCTCGTTGCTCTTCATATTTCTTGGTTTCCCTGCTTATAATCCTTGCAAATGCCTATCTCACACTATCTCCCCCTATCTCTCGGCAGGCTATGGTTTGGCCTTTAGCCGCAATTCCAAGTACGTGCAAATGTTCAATAAACGGCTGCTGGAATTCCGAGCCAATGGCGACTTGGAACGTTTGCGTCGCTACTGGATGACAGGCACCTGTCGGCCGGGCAAACAGGAGCACAAATCCTCCGATCCGCTGGCACTCGAGCAGTTCTTGTCCGCCTTTTTGCTTCTGATGGCTGGCATACTGCTGGCCGCCTTGCTGCTACTGCTCGAGCACGTCTATTTCAAGTACATACGCAAACGTTTGGCCAAAAAGGATGGCGGTCATTGCTGTGCCCTCATCTCGCTATCCATGGGCAAGTCGCTGACTTTTCGCGGTGCCGTTTATGAGGCAACGGAAATATTGAAAAAGCATCGCTGCAACGATCCCATCTGCGATACGCATCTGTGGAAGGTGAAGCACGAGTTGGATATGTCTCGCCTACGAGTCCGTCAGCTGGAGAAGGTCATGGACAAGCACGGCATCAAAGCGCCACAATTAAGGTGAGCTCACCCACTGGCCACTGGCTCTGCTCTAGCTAACACTTGAACCCCTTTTAGGCTCGCCTCATCGTCGGATCTGCTCAATCATCATCATCTGAAGGAACGTCCCCCTTTGCTAGGAAACCTCAGCTTGGCTGCCAGCGCACAAGATCTATACAGGTGGTAAGTTTTTTATTACAGTGAAACTCCCGCATGCTGCTAACCCTTTGTCCTTCAATGTTGTCTGTACGTGTGCGGGAGAGAGAGAGAGGGGGGGAGGGAGGGAGAGGGAGAGTGTGTCCTTAGTCTGTTAAGTCAGCAATTCAATTAAGCAATTGATTAGAATAACAGCGTTCACTGTTCTCGTTGTTGCTGTCTTCCTTATCGTTCCCGCTTCCAATAAAAATATATGGAAATTACTTTATTAAATTAACTTATCGACTGCTTCCGGAGCAGCTGGCTAGTTAGCCAGCCCCCTGGTCCCAGCTGAAGCATATCCGACAGTTCCAGTTCCAGTTGTCAGAGGAGTCGCAGCTTAGGTTCACACACATTTGCATATCATTTACAGCTCCCACCACGCCCTACGCTCCACACAGCCAGGTCAGTGACTAAAACCGACGCGTTTAGCAAATCCAATCGAAAAAGTTCAGTTTTTGTTCTATGGAAAAAGCTATGCAGCTATGTTAGAGCCACAAAAATTCATCAGCCATGCAAATCCGTTTAGTTGAGACAAAAGTTTCAGTGTGACGGGAACATTCACCAGAAATTCAGAAGCCCCGCTTTATGCAGGTTTCAAACAACATTTGATATGCTCACAAGATTAGACAATGGGGAAATTTATAGTTAGCCACACTGCGGGAGAAAGGTGACACTAGGAAGTTCCTTGATTGAATCGATGTGGATTGCATGTCTCTCATCAATCGAGCTTAGCAATGGGCTAGCTCAAAGTATTGCCGACTTTTGTTTCAAGGCTGTAGTATATATAGCTTATGTAGCCCTAGAACTGTGTAAGCTCCAGCATTTCCGATTAGTCACGCCCACAAATAACATCAGTTGTAGTCCATCTAAAGAGAAGCCCCAAAAAAGGTCGAAGTAATTAAGTAAATGGAATCGCCATTTATGCTCTACCTAAAGCGAGAAACGGAGCTGTTTATAAAGAACTCAGCCAGATAAATACATCTTGGATATTATTCAAGCTAATCGGGCAATTTGTCCGACCTTCCTCCCTTATTATGGCGAATGCTTTTTGGTTTGTTTTTCTGGTTTTTGGCTTAAACAATGAACAGCATTTAGCGCTCAAATTGTTGAAGCCCTCAGCCGGATAAAATCTTGAAATGGAAAGTTGAGCAACTAATTTGCATATGAACATGTGTTTAGATTATATCCGTGGTCTGGCGGGCGGGGGGCGGGGGCGGGTCATTTCGCTAAAATATGCTGATGCATAATGTTTACATTTTCTGCTCACGCATCAGATTAGCCCCACAGCGGCAAGCCCTTTCGTATGCCAACCAACTCGAATACCTCGTGGGCATATTGGTTGAGAGTAAAGAAGAAGCCGTAAGCTATATATAATTAGGCTAATGAGCGCTGAGTCGAATTTAGCTAATGTCTATGAATCGAATTCGAGAGCTTTAAGAGCTGAGACTTGAAATTTATAACTTATAATCTGGAATGCCTTTCACATAATAATTTGCTTATATTTTTTGCGCTAACTCATTATGTTTGCTTGATATCGATAAATATCGATCTATCAACTTTGAATACGTTCAAAACTAGAGGCAACGATTGCATTTATTTACGATTTTGAGTGCTTTTGCCTCCTGTAGGCTCTTCGGCGCTTGCTACGGACACGAATGCCATACCACTTGAAGGCCTCGTTAGGGTATCAACTAGCCGGGCAACCCTTCTACCTTGCTCAGCATGTTTTTTATTTGTTTGATGATGGACGTGGCTGGGGCTAAAACTTTTCAGCAAATTGTGCAAATTAAGCGCTTGAACAAAAACCGCCAAAAACTTTGCCGCAAAAAAAAACACAACAAAAAAGGAAATATGAGCGCATTTGCATACACATATACACACACATATAGGGGTACGTTAACACATATGCATATGGATATGAATATGTATTTATTGATATTCATGCCACGTGCTCAAAACTTTTCACTCTCAATGCGAAAGCACGAAAGGGTCAGATAAAAGCTAAGAATATCTCTTGTATGTTGTTGATATTCTGGGATCTGGAGACCTGTTGTTGCCCACTCAACTGAGTATGAATACAATTTCAATCAATATAGCAAAAGGCCAGTGCCAGACTTAGAAATACCCTGTATGCTACAAAGGGACCCACGGATGCCCTACATACATCACAGAACGAGCTACTCATTCTATTATAATCTTAAAGCACCTTGCAGTCATTGAGCAGGTCAAGTTTGTCATTCACCTGAAGAGGTAACGCGAATAAAATTGAATATTATACATTAAATTAAAATGCTTTATCAAATATAGATGGTGCAATTTGAAAAGCTTATGTATCTGCTAGTCGAGCACTCTTGCCTTCAACTACTTTTTGGCATTCATTTATTTACTTGCAAGCCCTTGGGTGCTGCTCCACACTCGTTACTGATTGATTGATGCTGCTCAATGGAACTCTGGCCCTGACTCCCTTTCTTTCGCTCTCTCTCTCTCTCTCTCTCTCTCTCTATTGCTCTCTCGCTCTCTTTCACTCTGTCTCGCTGTCTCACTCACTCTCTGTGTACTTGCAATAGATAAGTTCTCGCATGACCATGTGATGGACCCCTGCAATGAGGAATGCCCATCGATTTATGCACTTGCCTGTCCACAATGAAGCACATTTTCAATTTGTTATTACTATACAGATACTATACATAAACTATATATACTAAATACATATATACTAACTTTATACTAAACAAATCCCAAGTAGCACTCGCATGATTGATGTATATAAAAATTTGCATAAGCTCTACAAAATATGCTAACTTTTTGGAGTGTGATTTTCTTGTTTCTAACTGCTGCAACTGCTGTCAATCAACATCAATCAATGGCGAAACCAACGTGATGGAAAGGTCTTACAAAACGGAAATAGCTGAAATGGAGACGGTGCTCTGAAGCGTTTGCCCAGCATCAATATTGTCAGCTCTGCCCACTTCGATCCAAATACTACAGTTAATAAGTTCAGCTCAATCCCCATCAATCCACATCAAGCACAACCGAAACGGACAACAGCCGCATGAAGAAGCACAAGTCATTTAAAATACAAAAGGAATAAACCAAAGACAAATCTATGAGATAAGCAGTTCAGCTCAATCCCCATCAATCCACATCAATCATAGCCAAAGGGCAACTCATTTGTAATGGCTAAGTAATAGAATATCAAGTCTAGGCAACGCTTAAGTCTGGCCAATGACTACTCAAGAAAATTGGCTCATCAATCATCGTCAATCGCAGTCAAACGAAATTCTTGTAATTGAAAAAAAAAACTAATTTTTTTTATATCTAACGTAAAAAATAAACCAAAACGTAAATTTATGATATAAGCAGTTCAGCTCAATCCACATCAATGAAAGCCAAAAAAGAAGAAGAAGCAGAAATAGCAGCCAAACCAAAGCTAAATTTACACAGTAAAAACTAAAAACTGAAATCTAAAAAATTTAAAAATAAAAAACAAACTCTCAACAAAAAAATTTTCATAAATATATATATATACATATATATATGTATATGTATGTATATATATACACAACATATATATAGATGTATATTTAATCAAAATGTTTCAAATAAATGTAAACTGAAAGCTTTTTAAAAGTTAAAAAAAATACAAAAACAAAAAACAGATTTAAAAATAAATAAAGCCCAAAGCGCCTCACACAAAACCAAATAAGAAAAAAATAAAACACACAACAGAAACAGAAAAAAATCTAAATGAGCCGAAACATTTTAACAAATAAGTTTTAAATGTTAAACAACAAAAACCAAAACCAAATTGGTTTTTTTTGCTCGATTGAACTGTGAATGTTAACAAAGAATTTTTTTTTATTTTTAAGTATTTATTATATATATTATATATATATATATATATATATATATATATATATATATATATATATATATATATATATATGGAAAGGCGAGCTGGAAATCGAATTGCGAAATATTCTAGTGCCAAAAACCAAAGCACAAAGCTCAAAGGCAAATTGAAATTGTAATTGAAATTGAAATTGAAAATGTAATTGAAACTGATATTGAAGTTGAAATTTTAATTCAAATTGAAATTGAATATAAAATTAAGTTGAAAGGGAAATTGAAATTAAAGTTCAATTCCAATTGAAATTGAAATAGAAATTGAAATTGGACTCAATATTGAAGATGAAACTCAAATTCAAATTGAAATTGAATATAATATAAAATTGAAAATAAAGTCAAAATTGAAATAGATATTTAATTACGACTAAAACTGAATTGAAATTGTAATTGAAACTGAAATTGAAAGTAGAAATTAAAACTTGAAGTTGAAATTTAAGTAAAATTGAATTGAAATTAAAACTGAAACAGAAATAGAAATTTAAATTGAACCTGACATTGAAATTGGAACAGAAAAAGTTCAATTCAATTAACATTGAAAAAGAAATTGAAATTGAACCTGAAATTGAAATTTAAAGTAAAAATCGAAGTTTTATTGTAACTGGAATTGAATCGAAATTGAAATTCACGTTCAATTGAAACTGAATTTGAAAATAGAAATCTTGCAGCTAAAATATCAACAAAATTAATTTGAACTGAAATTGAATTTGAGTTTCGACTTCAAATTGTAATTGAATTGAATTGAATTAGATTGAATTGAAATTGAAATTGAAACGGATTGTATTGCTAAACATATACACACTCAACATATTTATATATAAATATATGTATTTACTTAATTATTATGATTACGATATGAATGTTATTGCATATACACGTACATATACATACATTTATTGATATACATACATATATATATATATATATATATATACATTCCAATTTATACACGCATTACATATATACATATATATATATATGAGAAATTTTTTTTCCTATTTTTGGTGGATAAAACAAAGCCTAAACTTAAAGAGAAATCTTTACTAAAATGCATTTCCGAACAACTTTTTCTCATTTATTTTTCGGCCATTGCTCAACACTGTTTTTCCAGTTGGGACCCATTTGCGAATGGATTTATTATAGTAATACCCTCAGGTGTCTGGTGCCTGGCTTTTCCCTATAATTTGCTTAGAATTTTTATCTCGAGGGAGATCAAGATCTGATATGCGTTTTACAACACTGTCGGACTATACAAATGTTGTGTGATCAACACTGAATTTGAAGTGAAAAAGAGAACAAGAAATGCAAGCATGCTGAACGCATCTTCCAACACTGCTTAGCTGTCAGCATATGCATTGTGCATGCCAAATGTGTTGAACAACACTGAAATACAATTGAAATGTTGCTCTACACTGAACTTGAAGTGAAACACAGACTAATAGCAGATCGGCTGCAGCACACGCATGGCAAACGCATATTACAACACTGCTTATGCATTGTTACCGTTGCTCAATACTAATACTTAAGTTAATCGCGCCTTTTTGCCATTATTCGAGCGAGTATATCAAACTTTAATTTCAGCTTGATCTTGATTCGCATTAACATATATACAAACAAAAACAACTAAAAACAATTGTTAAATACTAAATACTTAGAAATCTGAAAAATTAAATAAAATAAATTAAATTAAAATAAAATAAAACTAAACTAAATAAATAAAAGAAATTTTAAACAAAATCAAAGCTAAAATTAAAAAATATATATAAAAAAGAAATTGAATTCAATGTTTGTGTTGCAAATGGTTTTGATGTCTCTTCTAAATGTTTTTTGAAGCTTAAAAAAGAAACAAAAACAAAAAAAACGCTTACACTAAATAAAAAAAAAACATAAACATAAAACAAAAAGAATCATAAATGCTTGTTTTTAACAACAAAAACAAAACATAAAAACAAGCAAAAATAAAAAGAAATGCAAACAATGTTAACAGTAAAAAAAAACAAATAAAAAAAAAACATTTTGAGTTTAATTTGCAAAGAGTGATTTTTTGTAGTAAACAAATAAAAAATAAATATTTTATACACAATTAAAATGCAGAGAAAAAACTAAAAACAAACCAAAAAAAAAAAATAGTGAAATGTTAATTATTACGTATATATTTTTTAAGACAAATTGTTCACAAAAATGAAGAAGAGAAAAGTAAAAACAAAACAAAAACAATCTAGTATTAAACAAGAAAACAAAACAAAAACTTTACGAACAAATTAAAACAAGTAAAACAAGTTAACATTACATTGTATAAGTAGTTAGTAATTTAACACTAAAACCAAATACAAAAAAAATAAAAAATAACGTAAGCTAAGCGAAATGCAAATGTTTTATGTATTATGTATACAAAATGTTGTTTTTTTATTATTATTATTAAATGTTATCCAGTAACGTGAAAGGGCAAACAGATACACACATACACCTACACACACACACCCCCACATACATATATATATTCCTTTTAAACTAAAAATATGCCATGAAAAAAATAAAAATTAATAATATAAGAAATTTAATAATAATAATGGGAAATGAAATGAAAAATGGAAAAAATCTGCAACGAAAATGTATGTTCACCAAAAAAACTGTTTTTTTTTTTTCACCTAAATTAAAAACAAATATATTGGCAAATCAAAAAGAAAAGAAAACAAACCCCATATTATCGAATATGCATTTGATGTGGTAGACAAAAAAGGCGAGAAAAAAACACGTACATTTACGTATATAAACAAAACAAAAACTTGCAATAAATGTGTATACAGAAAACAGAAATCAGAAATTTGCTTTTATTTCAAATTTCAAAATCAAAATAGTGGGAATCTTAACGGTCATTTAAGCTAGCGCATGTATCATTCATAGCCACTAGCTCGGTGTCTTCAGTTGTGTGTTTAAGTGTGTGCTTAAATGTGTTTAAGCTAATGAGAATATTTAGCATATTCACATTAAAAAGTTCCATTTGACTCAGCACAGAAGTAAAATTTAAAATAACCGACATCTTAACGATTGACAAATTCGAATTTCAATATTATGTTCATGTTATCGATGTGTTGCCAACGAACAGCTACATGGTATGCACTTAAATATTGTCTAATCAACACTAAACCCAATTCGAAATAAAAGTAAAGTTATCGATGTCTGGCAACTATTATAGCAGTCAGCTTTATCGCACTAGCCAAAACTAATTCAATTGAAAAGAGTGGCATCGATGCTTATCGATGTCTAATAAAAATGCGATATTTGAATTATCTGGCTTACATGCTGTATTGTGCAACCCTAATTCAAGCCTATTCGCGTTCACGATGCCTATCACTCGTCCATTTTGTCAACGCTCCCAGCGGCATCCACAACGTAAGTGAATTTTCTTCATTTTTTTTTTTGTAAACTCAATTTACAATCTTAAAATTATAAATAATGCAAACTAATAAATTTAAGAATTGTGTAATTGCAATTCAAAAATCGTATTAGTTTTTTTTAACTTTGTTTTAATAAAGTTTTTCGTGCCGTATGGCACGTGTACTTTCCAGAAGTTAGGTTATGTTGCAAAGTGAAGCTGAAATCTACTTTATTTCTTTTCAATTGACATGTTTTCTTTTTGTACCATTGTAGGTTTCGTAACTCTTTCACGTTAAAATGTCGGGAGGCTTAGATATACTGTCCCTCAAAGAGGATGACATTACCAAAATGTTGGTTGCTACCACTCACCTGGGCTCCGAGAACGTCAACTTCCAGATGGAGCAATACGTTTTCAAGCGTCGTGCCGATGGTGTGAATATCATCAATTTGGGCAAAACTTGGGAGAAGCTGGTTTTGGCTGCACGCGCCATTGTTGCCATTGAGAATGCATCCGATGTGAGTAACGATTGAAGTTGTGTGTTTATATGTGTTTACAATATTTGTTGCTGTTTGGTGCACATGATGATACTAATCTAATCTTTCGGGTATGATATTCAATGATGTCAACTTTTAAACTGATTTGCCCAAACAGCATAAACACTTGATTGTCATTAGATGGTCACACTGTAAACCTTAAGCCTTTGCCATTTAAGTACCGTTATAAAACGCATTTTTATTGTAGGTCTTCGTCATCTCGTCGCGTCCCATTGGTCAGCGCGCTGTGCTGAAGTTCGCCAAGTACACGGACACCACACCTATTGCCGGCCGCTTTACACCCGGTGCCTTCACCAATCAGATCCAGCCCGCTTTCCGTGAGCCACGTCTGTTGGTTGTCACCGATCCCAATACCGATCACCAGCCCATTATGGAGGCGTCGTACGTGAACATCCCCGTTATTGCGTTCACCAATACAGATTCCCCATTGCGCTACATTGACATTGCCATCCCATGCAACAACAAATCACCCCATTCGATTGGTCTTATGTGGTGGTTGTTGGCTCGTGAGGTGCTCCGTCTCCGTGGTACCATTTCTCGCACCACCGAATGGCCCGTGGTTGTGGATCTCTTCTTCTATCGTGATCCTGAAGAGGCTGAGAAGGAGGAAGCTGCCGCAGCCAAGGAGCTGCTGCCACCACCCAAAATTGAGGAAGCCGTCGATCATCCTGTCGAGGAGACCACCAACTGGGCCGATGAGGTTGCTGCCGAAACTGTCGGCGGAGTCGAGGACTGGAACGAGGACACCGTCAAGACGTCCTGGGGCAGCGATGGTCAGTTCTAAAATGTTAAGGAGACAACGCCGGCCAAGAGCGGCCTAAACGAACTGTCAAGCATAAATAAATGCCAACATTCATATTTCTCCCAAAAAAGTGTTTCTATTTACTAACAAAAAATGGCGACTGATCAAGCTTACATGCAATAGAGCAGTACAGCAATATGTATAGAGAACCGTGTAGGAAAGAAGTCTGCGTGGATGCTAAATTTGAGTTCAACAAACATGTGGATGTTTTGCTACAAAACCAATTTCAGAATAGATACCTTTATGTGTATTTAAATGCTGACTGCTGTATACTAGGCAACATTTTTTCGTTATGCCCACTGCATTCGAAGTGAAACGTGGTCAAAAGAAAAATGAACAGAAGTGACCAAACTTTTAGGGAATATGCATAGGCAAATAAACATATTTCAACTTTTAAGAATTTCGAATACATCTAGTTACTTTTATATCAATATATTAGAGAAAAAACAGTTACAGTATTAATAAATTTATTTCTTTTTTTGCTTGTTTTGCTTTATACAAATAGAAAACAGTTAATCATTGCTTAGTTATATAGATATACAAGAGCTCCACAATCCAGATGATTGACTCAAAAAAAAACATGATATATATATACACATATATATATATATATTGCATATAAGTATGTTTAACTAGAACTGCGAATACCGTAAACCCAAATTGAATAAATGAATGAATAAGCAATATAATATATATATATATGTATATATATATATATATCTTTCGAGTCTCGCTCGTAATTATATATAAGAAACATTTACAAATATGATTAAGCAATTGGAAAATTTAAATGAGATTTGTTATAGGTTCTGTTCTATATATAAGCAATGATTCATTAGAATAATGGAACTCAAGAAAAAAACAAAAAAAAAATATTTAGAAAATATATATATAAGTATGGGTATGTGGTATGTGTGTATGTGCGTGTATCCATTATTATTATTATTATTGTTTTTCTTTATTGTAGGTAAATGGATTTGGACGAGCTTTAAATTCCGTCATTTTGCGCAGTTCCTTAGCTTCCTCCATTTCTCGTTGCTTGCGTTGTTCGTCTTCCTGGAAAACGAAAGAGAAATCAAGAGATATATTGTTAAAACTTGAAGCATGTTAAGAATGAAAACAGCGTTTACTTAATGAAGTGAAGCATAGACTAAAAGACTTACAGATTATGCACATATCATGTTATAAATTCCTAGAACTTCCATTTAGATTTCCTATATTTTACTCTAAGCTCGTGTCAGTTATCACTTCCTATTTGTTTCTCTTCCTCTTTCGTACTCTACACTTTGATCTCTATGTGTTCTCTCTCTCTCTCAATCTCATCTCACTCACTTTTTATTCTTCTTTTCTCTCCTCGTTGCTTTATTTAATTGCTAGCAGTCCCTTTCTCTCTCTCTCTCTTCTTACTACTTATTATCTCCCTCTCACTCTTCTATCCTTTGCTCTTTTGTGTCTTTATATCTTATCTTATCTTTATATCTTTCCCCTCATCCTATCCACTTTTTTCTCTCTTTCCTTTCCTATCTTCTCACCTCTAATACCGATCTTCCATCTCACCATTCGTTTTCCATATATATATATATATGTGCGGATGTGTGTGTGTGCTTGTGTTTGTATTTCACTTTACGCACTTTACTCTTTCGCTTCCATAAAAACTTTCGGAACTGCCCGCCGCAACATTTGTTCGCTCGCTCAATTAAAATGAATAGTTAGATGGATCATTAATGCGGCGAATACCTGAACTGAACCATAAGAAGTAGCAGAAGCAACACAGAAATGCAACGAACCGTACAAAGTACAGCGAAAGCTTAGAAGATACAATCAAATGGCGAGATACTTGTCTTATTAGATAAATCAATTGATATACAAAGGAATAGAAATTAGCATGAAACAACTTTTTTCTTCTGAGTGTTCGCATGACAGATATATGTATAAATAAATACATCTATGAATAAAAATTAAGATTGCATTTGTATTGGGACTGTCAATGCATCAATGAGTTAAACAAAATACAATAAAGTATCGATGCATCAGAGTGAACGAGAGAGAGACACTGCATGTGATGAGGAAAACGGTGCGTGAGTGTGTGTATGAATAACGTATCTGCGTACAAATGTGTAAAAAAAAAAAGGGGGGGAAAAAACATGGATGTATGAGCAACATCAGTGTGAGCGAGACAGAGCATGTGATAGGCGAACGACTGCCTGTGCCTGTGGCGACTATTATGTATGCATGTATTGCAAAGGAGACAAATGCAAAGGAACAGTCAGCAAAGTCAAAGAACGCGCAAGAGAGCATGTGATTGCAAATAAGTGTGTGTGTTTGTTGTACATGTATTATCTATGCATGTGCGAATTCGCTTCGCATATGCTTTACGCACCAGTCAATGTGATTAACAGGAAGAAAAAAAGTTTAAAAAAATAAAATAAGAAAACCCACTCAAACAGATCTAAAATGTTTTTGTGCTGCAAGCGACTACGCCATACGCTGTTATAGCAGCTGTTTGTAATGTGACTGTTATACGTAAGCTTTCATGTATGAGTTAATTTACACGAGTTGTCATACAATTTTTTTTCTATTATACGAGAAACTGTCGTATGTAAGTGCTTCTAAGTGGGTTTAACTATTGTACAGTGTTAAGTGTAATGTGTAAGCTGTTCTATGTATACGATAAAATTAGCTATATATCTTTCAGTTAACATTCATCCTTAGAGTTGAGCAATGTTATATGCCGCTATATACGCTATATCTTTCAGTTAACTTTCATCCTTAGAGTTGAGCGATGTTACATGCCGCTCTATTTATAAACTGTTATACGTCAGGCAGCTGTTAAATGAAACTTATATACTTATATACTTGTCGTACAGCCAGAGGAATCGTATATACTCTATGATCACTCATTGAACAGTGTATAATAATTATCTAGCAGTGTATAACAGCAGCAGCAGCCACTGAAGCTGATAAGATTAGCATAAAACTTGAAATGGAATCCGAGCTAAAGCAAAAGACGAATGCGAATCACATCATATGAATTTTTTTATATGTTTATACGCAACGGACGTGGACAAAACTCCATAGGTATGTGCGTATACCCCCCTATATATATATACATATATATATGTATATGATTCTATATGTATTTAGCTTGTGCAGTACCAGTAATCCAGTTCGCATTCGGTCGTCCAGCTTCGTGTTCTTTTTTTTGTTTTTTTGTTGTTATTCCATGACTGTTATACACAGCGTTTGTGGCTTCAAGCTCAGCAATTGATCGAAGCAGGGGCAGCGGCGGAGGGTGTGGCAGTGGCAGGTGGCGTTGTTGTTGCAATTGCTGATTGATTAACCGTTTGCTCATCCGCCAAAGACATGCTGTTGTCGCCATAAAAACGCGGCTCATCATGCGCCTCAGCTGATCCCGGCAAATCCTCATCGGTATCATCGTCATTCGAGCTGTCCGCCGCACCACTTATGTTCAGTTTCGAGGCGCGCTGCTCCACTGACCCATCTGGATCGGGCGCGTGTCGCAAACGGTCATAGCAAGCATCACAGACCCTCAACGCTTTGCCGGTTTGTTGGGGCAAGAGGAACTTCTTGGTGGAGCAAGCTGAACAAACGACAGCGCCACAATTTCGGCAATGATGACGTCTCTGGACAAATGTGAACTGTGTCTTCTTGCAGTGCATGCAAATGCTAGCCTCAGCATCTGGCACCCAAACGGCCGCATGATTTCCAGGCGGCTTCTTGCCGCTCTTACGCAACAGATCCTCGACACATTTATTGATATGGGCCATCCACTCCTGCTTCTCCGTACTGGTTGCGGCATAGACGACGAAAGACTTCGTGGTGGTGCGTATGTACCAGCCATTGCGATATTGTTGATTATCGGCTATCGAGTCCAATGAGACCTCTTCGAGGGGCATTATGTGCTGTTTGTTATACTTCTTCTTGCCAATCACAATGTTGCCATAGACAAGTATATCGTTGAATAGAAAGAACTGCCGCGATTTCGGACGTTTGCGGCACATTTTGGTCAGAACACCTTCGCCGACCAGAACACGTCCGGGTATCGCAAGTGGCACGCCAGAGCTGCCAAAACAACTCTCGACGGAGGCGATGCGCCGGGTGTTCAATTCCGAGTTAACAAGACGATCCACCATTTTTCTTCTTTTTCTTTTCTATTTTTGCTTGCTGCAGCGAAAGTGGCGCCACCTATCCGTTTGGCCAAGAGCTTTGTTTACAGTTTACAGTTTTTTTCTTTCTGTTTTCTACAGACGACTGTTGCTTCACAAGCCGTGGCGTACTTCAACTGTGACGACGACAAATTATGTTGTTTTTGTTGTTGATGTCGCTCCAAGCGTGTATGTGTGTAAGTATATAAATATGTATATATGCATATATATACATATAAATATAAATATAAATATATATATATATGTATAATTATATATATATATATATTTATATATATGTATACAAAAATGTATAAATATATATATATATTTATATTTGTGTGTGAATTTGGGCGCAGCAGCTGCTTTGTATCCTTTTCACTATAATTTCGAGTTTTGTGCTTTGTTGCGTTTTTTTTTACCGAAATTTCCTTTTTTTAGTCACGCGTTGCGCCCTTTATGCAATTTATATATAAATATATATATATGTGCACAATATAACTGATTTCTACGCCGTCCGTTTACCGAAACGTCATGACTCACACCACACACAAACAACAAGTATGCATACACACATATGTGGACAATATGTAGTAGTACATGTGTGTATATATTATTGTATATATATTTAGGGTATTTCCTTTCTTTCTGTAGTGTTACACTTTGCTAATATACTTCAATTTAAGTGATGTGTTGATTTTTCTTCTTTTTTTACCCAACAAACTAGCGATTAAATTAAAACTGAGATGCTCTAAACTTTAATTTCGCCTCAACTGCTGAATGGCAGCTGCTAACGCACAAATGAGTCGCTGCATAGCTATGTTAGCGCAATGTAGAGCATTGACGCATAATTATTACAGTGTTGCACGGAACTCGCAACAGTGTGACCAGTCGATCTACGTTCAATTAGATTTTAAAATAATTACCTTCTTCTTTTTCTCATCAAGATTACATTGGACGACATTATTATACTCCCGACGTTCGCGCACGCGCTGGTCAGAGCGCAGCTGAAATGGTTTCAATTCGGCAAGGCCAGCTCTTCGTACATTTTTGGCAATATCATATTCCTGTTGCAATATTTTCGAGTTCTAAGCAAGGAAATTCAACATGTTCGTTATAATAACAATAGCAATATTTTTCTACTTGGACTTTACCTCTTCCCGGCGTTTTCGCCGCTCCAAATGCTCGTAGGAATGCTTCAATGTTTCCGGCGTCACAGGCACCGTTATCCTATGGATAACAATTGTATCAGCCAAACGCTTATGCAATGCTTTAAAATTTGGCACCGGCTTGCTATGAAATTGACGCGCCTTACGCTCCTCCTCCTCTCGTTGCCGCATCATCATCTCCCGCTTGGCCTGATAAGTATTCTTGCATTCGTAAACCCTTGGCGCCTTTCCAACAGGTCCTTGCTCGGCTTGGCTTTTCGCTAAAGGAGTCCAATCGAGCTTCAATCTGGGCTTCAATCCAAGTATCTCATCCACCTCCTGATCCCTTAAAGATTCAGTGTGCTCGGGAATTGGCGAATCCACCGTTTCCTCTTCACCTTGTAAAGAATCGGTTGACAAATCCAATTGCAACTGCATCTGACGTTTAGATTCAATATGTACTATATCATCCTCATCACAATTTTGATAAGACGCCTGTTCTGTTTTATAGCTTACTATATTCACTGCGTTAAAATTCTGATCACAAACTGATTCATCCTGTATCTCCTTCTTAATCAACTCAGTAGTTTTTAAATTTATTACGTCCTCTTCAATTAAATTTTGATCACAGGCGGATTTGTACTGTTTCTGCCGCGTCATCCTCCAGTTCGTGTTGAACTGATCACTCAAGTTTTCCTTGTTGGAAGAGGAAGCAGCCGCTAAAATGATTTTATATGGATTACAAAATTAACTGTAAATTGAATAACCATAAATCGTCATACCGCACAAATCGCTTGAATATTCCATTTTATTGGCGCTTGTTTTGGTTTCGTTCCAGTCGAAATTCAAATTTGCATTTTTCGAATTATAATTATCCAAAAAATCTATTGTATCACCCATTGCGTTTGACCTGTTTGATGAAGCAGCTGCTAAAATGGCGCATTTTTTTCGAGTTAACTGTAATTTTCGAATTCAACGCAAAAGCATTAAGTACTTACTAAAAAAATTTTGTGAATGATCAAGGTTGTAATCGCCCACGCTTATTTCGTTCCAGTCAAAATCGCTTTTCTTATATTCGTTGTTACTTAAATTAGCCATATTACTGAACAAATATAACACGACGCTAAGATTTCAAACAATATGAAAACAAAGGCAAGCACACTTTTAATTTGCAGAGTTGCTTAGTGCCTATCGATAGCTATATTGCGGAACGACATCGATTAAGTGGTTGCATTTCAATTACAATTATGAATGAATAAGCTAGCGAGGCGATTGTTCTTTAATATATTTTATACTATTAACTGCAAATCATTTGTGCATATATATTTTCCGATTCTGACACTTAAACATTACAAATATTCAAATTTAACCATCAGCAACTTTTACCGATAGCTACATGTTGGTTGGCAATATCACACAATCAGGCGGTTAAATAACAGTTGAAAACCAGCAAACATTTTGCATTTATTTGCCAGGGATACGCATACAGAGCATGCTGGCCAATTGCCTATTTTTATTTTTATAACACCTAACAAATTACAAAAAATATAATTATTTAAATTCGATATACACAATAAGTGTATATGCTTTAAGTAACTTAGTACGCTAATAGTCCATCGTAGACAACATTATTTGTTTGTATATGTAAATTCTTTGCGACTGGACTCAGTCTTCGCAAGCAACTTCTAATATGGGCGTCGCTTGAATTGTATAATTATGTTTGGTACACCACGGACTAATGCGAAATCCGATGAGCTATCAATGAATCCAACATTGGAGCATCCCTAAAAGCGCATGCCGCCAAGTACCGTTGAACGCTTGGTTTTCCTCATACTTGAATCGGCTTTATGCTGACGCTTGCGCGGCAGCAGAGGCGATGGATTATCATCTATTTCCGACTGCACTGAATCCTCATCGCAATCGTTGCTGAATAGCGTGCGACGGACGCTACGTGGTGCCGGCACCTCGCTCTCATCGTCGGTTAATACATTACGTGGACTTCGAATCCGCCAATGACGCTGCATGCCGGGAGTTCTTGGCTTCAACTTCTCATAGACAATCAGACAAATGTCTATGGAGCTTTCATTTATGCATACGAGTGAATTGCAGCGATAGCCCAAAGTTAACGACACCCGACAGTTTTCGCCTAGTTCAATGCCGCCATCGTTTTGCTTATGAGAAGCCTGCAATGATCCACTGGCAGTGATGAAGTCCATCAACTCTGTGCTGTTAGCCGGTGTAGATGCACGTGGAGGTGTTATCAACTGATTGGTACATGTAGCAATTGCAGCCTGCTCCTCTTCTTCATCACTCTCTGCACGCAAATGTACCGATGTTGGTAATATTTTTGGTTCTTTAAGTCGACTGCGTAGCACTTGAAAGCTGCGTGCGAAACGCTCTTTAAGCAACAATTCCTCCGACTCAGTACAGCGCTGTGCATTCAAAAAGTCCATATGATTAAAGCGTCCTATGATTTGTGTGCGCAAATAGCTTGTTACAGATCCAATACCCTTTACGTTGCGTCCAAGCAACGATAAAATACAATCATCAGAGAGCTCTCTGCGTATTTGACCATCATCCATGCATTGCAGAAAGCGCCGAAGCAACTGGCTGGGCAACACTAAAAGTATCTTTGAGTTATAAAACGGATCGACAAATTCAATATATTTACTAACCTGGGCACTCTGCTGTTTGTTCTTCATGCATTTTTTAAAGAATTTGTTCACATAGGCAAAAGTAAGCGAAATAAATATTTGGTTGATGCGCTATGTGGGAACAGCAACGTTGCATGTACACGAATTGCGATGTTCTATCGATTTATATCACGCGTATCGATGTATTTGTTTTAAAAAATATATTTTCATTTCTTGAGAATCAAAAGTGTGCCCAGACACAAACACAATATACTGCTATATTTGTTTTACAATTTTAATTTGAGTGATCACGCCTTTATTTATAAAATGTATACATACATGTATACATTCATAATGATATATGTATGCAAATACATTTATATTCAATTCGATCTGTGTAAATTGATAGTTTTTTAGATTTTAGTTTTTGTTCAGATTTTCGGGAACTTGAATTGCAACGACTAATCGATATATTTCTTGCATATTGACTTATAAAGATATTTGAGAGCAAACGTAATATACTGATTTTGTATGTATTAAAAATTCAATTTGAGTTATCAGACCTATAAATATATATGTTCAATTTTTATGAAAACAAAAAATTTCTTTACGAATCACGCACGACATATTTATAACAATTTTTTTGAATAAGTTTCGATATGGGCGCAAACAATAGCAAACCGCAAACTGTGCAAATACCAAATACATCACCATTTCAAATCAGCCGGGAAGTTTTGGAGCGCGTCGAGAAGGCAACCAAAGCGGAAAAGGGACCCATTGCCACAACAGTTCCTGTTCCCGTACCCGTTACTGCTGCGTGTGAGCATTGTAATCGTAAAACAACAGCAGCAGCAGCTGGTGGAGATGCCGCTGCAGCTGGAACGAGCGGCAGCAATGAAAAACAGGCGCAGGTGCAAACGTATCAGCAGCAACAGGTGGCACTCTCTTCATCTTGGGCACGGCGCTCAACAGAAATAGAGGAGACTCAATTTACGAAAACATTAGATCGAGTGCACAATTTGTTTGGGCAGCCTGTTAAATGGGCCAAGGCCAATGAATGTACAGCGGATATTGATAAAATGGAAAAGCAATTGATAAACTGCTATCACCAGTACGGCAAGGAGCCATTGAAATGTGCCGCCTTGGCTAAAATATACCACACCTTTGTTTTCAATAAGCAGGTGGATGCCGTCCAGAGTACAAAGCACGATGATCAGGATGTAAAGGGGGCCGATAATAATTGATGCTTGGTTCTTCTGTCTCGCTCGATTGACAATAAACTAAAACGAATGCGTATTATTGAAATATCATAGAGATTTTAAATATAACGACCGCATTAATTGTACATAGCTGATATACCAAATTGAAGGGCATTAAAAGCGCTCGAAAAAGTTTAGTTCATATTTGTATGATATCAAACCGTTTAGATCTTAAACTTAAACTTGTGTGGGCATTAAAAGCTTTCGCAGCTTTCAACTATCAGCACACTCAATTTAGTTCTTTAGTTCATTACACACACGGACACATTCAGTCAAATAGCTTTCAGCTATCAACACGCGCTCACAGCTGACGCAAAACATTTTTGTTATTTAGTTCATTGCAATAAGCAGCAGCAGCAGCGACGTCCTGGCATCTCTGGCGTCCTATGCACATAGTACTAAAAACTAGCATTACAATAAGTTTTAGTTCTAACATAAGCAAAAGATACATAAACGCACACATGTGTGTGTTTGCGCTTACATATGTAAGTATGCGTTTTACAAGGTAGCAACACGACGGCTAAGGTTCTTCTATATACATACATACCTAGAAATTTTCTGTTAGTTTATTGTGGGTGTAAATGCCGATTACGCATAAATCTTGAGCAACATACAATTACATAAACACACATTTGACTGTGCGTGCGTGTGACTGTGTGCATGCGTAACGCTTCCTTGCCAAAGACATTGTTATGACACGGGCAAAACGAGTGCCCGTTAGGAAATTTTCTGTGCTAAATCATGCACTTAACTGCTCACTGAATAATAATAATTTGTGACAATTGTGTTTATTGAATACAGCGTATACACATATACACACTAACATCCATATGTGCATAAGGGGTAGCATGAACGGTAAACAGTAAACACATAGGAAATTTGCGACTTTTTTTTGCCAAATTTTTGGCATAGGTGAAATTTCTTTACAGCTTTCATAAGCACATACCCTTGACTTCCACTACGCCCGTCCTCATCTGTCAACTGGCAAAAATTGAGGAAACGGAAAAGCTTTTGCACGATCGTGCAACAAAATGCATTTTCAATGGCAATTGCATTTTTTTTGTTGGCAAATAATTTGTAGCTTTTAGTATGCGTGCAACCATTGTGACACTTAGTCGAAAATATATATATTTCTTCTATAAAAGCAAAGTTCAAATACTGTGGGAAAAAGTGCAGCATCAAATTGCGCGCCTGTCTTCAAAAAACAGTTGAAACTAAAGCAAAAACAAAAACGCAAGTACAACTCAAAAGCAGAGACTTCTGCACGCAAACCCCAGTCATCAATTGGCTTGGGGTTTTTTGATATATATATGTCATAAGTATAAAGTTGGCGGGCTACATGTATATGTAAATATATTATATATTCAGTTTGCATTTATATAAGTATACACATAATAAAAATATGAAAAATCGCAACATCAAATTTCGCGTCTACCTTCAAAAATAATAGTGAAAAAAAAAAACGAAATACAAAAAGCACGCTGAATAAAGCTCCTCCTGCTTCTCCTTGCGGCCCAGTGGTCAATTGGATAATGTTTCTGCCTGGGCTTACATGCATACATGTGTAGAATGAGGAAAGGGTATAAATATGTGCCATACGCTTAATTAGATTTCTTATATTGACTTTTTATATGCGTATTCGTCGTCGTCGTGGTTATCGTCGGGTTTTTCCATCTATTTAATGCTTTTGCTCCTTAGTGTGTGTTCCTTGGTTTAGTTAGATTAAATGACAACTAAAATGTTGCGCAGCTGGCAGCGCATTTTCATTGCCAAGCTCAAATTGCATCCCATGGCCAAGGGCGTGTTGACCTATGCATTTATGTGGCCCACAGGCAGCCTCATCCAGCAGACGTTAGAGGGCCGCAATTTTAGTAAGTCCACAAGAGATCTCAGATAAATCGAATATTCAATATCCAATACCCAATTCCCATTTCCCTTCCCATCCAGAGACATACGATTGGGCACGTGCTCTGCGCTTCAGTCTCTTTGGTGGCCTCTATGTGGCGCCCTGTCTCTATGGCTGGTTGCGTCTCAGCAGTGCCATGTGGCCGCAGACGAATCTGCGCGTTGGCCTGTTGAAGGTGAGTAATAGGTGGCCTAGCTCGAAGATGGGCAAATTCCTTATCTAAATATTGCAGGCCTTAACGGAGCAAGTATCTTACGGCCCCTTTGCCTGCGTTAGCTTCTTTATGGGCATGAGCTTGTTGGAGCTGAAGACCTTTGAGCAGGCCATTGCCGAGACTAAGGCGAAGGCCCTTCCCACATACAAGGTTTGAACTACGAGGGCGTGGCTGAAGGTGGTCTCTATCTAACTTGGCTTCATCATTGACAGGTAGGCCTCTGCGTTTGGCCCGTTTTACAGACAATCAACTTTTCGCTAGTGCCGGAGCACCATCGCGTTGTCTTCGTCAGCATTTGCAGCCTCATGTGGACTATATTTTTGGCATATATGAAAACGCGAGCAGCCCAGTCACCAGCAGGTCTAGAAGAAGTAGCCTGAAAAGTAACTGCAACAGCTGCCAGTGATCAAGCTGCTTGCATTGCAGCTTTTTATATATAGAGGAGGAGAAGCAGGTTGACTCAGCAAGAGATGAAGATGAAGCTATCGAGTTGTCAGCGGCAGCAGCTGTCAGAGGAGAAAGAGGAGGCAGGAGCGGCACTCCCTTGTTTTTGTATAGGAGCAAAAGCAGCCGCAGTCGCAGCTGCTGGATACCAATTCTGAAATGTCCTTGTTTTTGTATGTATGTATGCATGCATGAGTAGAACTAGACTGTGCTTGCCCTTGAAGCAGCTACTGGAAGCACGCTATGGACAGTTCTTGCTGTTGCTGTAGACCAATTCATAGCTTCGCTCTTCTATTGTATATAAAACTGTTTTTTAATTTAGGACAAATTGCTGTTTAGGTAAATAAAATGCATTTAAGTACAAACGTGTTAATTGTGGAGTGGAGGTGGTTTACGTGCCACAACCAGATCGCCAATCCAGAGCCGTGAATGATGTGGATCATGACAGCCCACTGTCTCTCTTATCCAATCCACATAGGCAGAGACTTCGGTGAAAACGCCCGGATAGGGTGGACGTGTGCAGGGCTTCACACTCCACGATACGATGCCAATTTGGGTGTCCAAGGCGGGCAATAGTAGCGGGCCACCTGAATCGCCGCTGCATTGTCCCTTCCCGCCCTCGGGCAGGCCAGCGCAGAGCTGGCTACGGTGTAGTTGCGTTTCATGACGTCGACTGCACTCCTCGTCGCTGAACACTTGCAGCTGCGCCTTCTGCAGCTTCAATTGCAGCGCGCCTCCAGTCTGCAAAATGCATAGTTAATGGTCAATGAATGATGTTAATGCTAATGCATAATACGAACTGCATTCAATCCCCAGCCAGCGAGTATGGCGCTGCTATTCGCTTCGACTTGCTGCAGTGGCTTGGGCAATCGCACTGGCTGCACACTGCGGCTATAGAGAATTGGCACCTTCAGCTGCAGCAGCGCTATGTCATGAATGTACTTGTCCTGCGGCTCGTAGCCAGGATGTACATGTATGGCTGTTATCCAAGCCAGCTGGCTGGCATTGCGGTCGATTTGATTACTGCCATATTGCACATTCAGCTGCTCCGGCTTGGAGCCGCGCACACAATGCGCCGCTGTCAATACCCAACGGGAGTTCAACAATGTTGCTCCACACGAGTGTGCGCCCGTCTTGGCACGACGCAGTGATAGCTGAAGAATAGAGAGAGAGAGTGGAATTTAAAGATGCATTTGATCGTTCATAGGCTTTGCTTACCGCATAGGGGAACTCGCCTTGGTCAGCTAAGGTGCCATTCACTATCTTGCCATCCTGTTGATCTTCTTGTGCTGTTGCCTCAGCTCCAGCCACTCCTTTCTCTCCTGCTACTTCTGGTGCATTATATGCCTCTCTTGGTTTGCTGTACTCATTTATTTCATTGGAAAACTTTCCTTGCTGCGCTTCGCCCACTTTCAGTCTTAGTTCTACTCCTTCTGCTTCGCTGGTGACTTGCAAACCAATCCCAATTAGAAGCAGTGTACACCAATAGCGTGACATGTTGTTTGTTTCGAATTTGGCTGGCAGCTATTGCATTTATTTAAGCCCCCACACAGCAGGCTTTTTACATTAAAAACAACCCGCATACTAGTAGGTCAGTTGGCCTTTGGGTTTCTGCAAACTGAAAACGGGAATTGATTAACATGCATTTACATTAATTACACACTCACACACACACAGATTGAGAGATGGCTTCTACAGTGGTGTGGCAACAGCTGAAGAGCTTCATCGTTAGATATCCCATTGCGCGTGGTATGATATCGTATAGCCTGATTTGGCCCACGGGCAGCCTGATACAGCAGACATTTGAAGGCAAGAGCTGGGGTGAGTTGCACACAAGTGCTTAATATATGTATATAGATCTACAATAGATGCGTTGTCGTTGCAGGCAGCTACGATTGGTGGCGCGTCTTTCGCTTTAGCATGTATGGCGGATTGTTTGTGGCGCCCACGCTCTATGGCTGGGTGAAGGTAACTGTTTTCTGCTATAGATTCCCTTGTACATCGACATCTTCCTACAGATCTCCAGTGCTATGTGGCCACACACATCTCTGCGCTATGGCGTTATTAAGGCTGCCGTGGAGACCATTTCGTACACACCTGCCGCAATGACCTGCTTCTATTTCATTATGAGCTTGCTGGAGTCAAAAACGGTGCAGGAAGCTGTGGCCGAGGTTGGCAAGAAGTTTCTGCCCACCTACAAGGTACACGCATACCAAGTTTAATATAGATTATCATCTTAAATACCTATTCCTATATTTATTTATACTAAACAGGTTGCTTTGGCAGTTTGGCCTTTGGTAGCCACCATCAACTTTTCTTTGATACCTGAACGCAATCGTGTGCCTTTTATTAGTGTGTGTAGCTTATGCTGGACATGTTTCCTGGCTTATATGAAACACTTGGAGCACCATGAGGTGGATCAAGTTATTTAATTATGTTGTATTTGTATAGTATTGTAAATAGCTTTAATAAAATTAGGAAAGATAAGTGACCGGTCCTTATTGATGTAAAGAAGGCAAAAGTGTGACCAGTTGTTTTCGGAAAAACAAAAAACAATCAGAAATAACACTAAATATCGATATAATTAATTACCTCCACAGAGCGTGATCTACAGGGTCAGCATCGCCAGGCAATTAACTATTATTCAAAAGTTTTTTCACCCACACTTTACTCTTTGCTTTTCTGAACAACAATAATTCTGTAAAATATCACTACAGGCTTTAATATCGATATGGCAACTATTATCGTAAAATTACTTGTAGGTAAACATCGCAGCAGACTAATCGATATTTTTGTCATCCCTAGCCCCACCTTGCAGTTGGGTGTGTGCAACGAATTAATTTGTTTTTCAGTTGTTTATAGTGCGTTAAGCTAGTTATTTTTTTATATTGTAAATAAAGTGCCTTCACAATGCGTAATTTGGGCAAACAGCAGTCGCAGGACACCACCGACACGAGTGTGGAGAAGGGCGACTATCCGCGTGCGACAAGTGAGTGACGCAGCCAACGTTTGTTGTTTATAGTTGAGTAAATAACTTATGTGCTCTTGTTTGTGTGTGTGTGTGTATAGATGGAGTCGTATTTGGGGCAATTATTACCTTTGCCAGCTTTTTTGTATTGATGATGTCCTTCTGCTCACCCTACTGGATCGAATCGTATGAGGAGACGCGCAGCAGCTTCAAAAACATGGGACTCTGGCAATACTGCTTCAAGAACTTCGTCTATCCGAACTACCAATTCCCCAAGCAATTCACGGGCTGCCATTTGATCTTCTCACATGTAAGCATGCACGCATAACTTCACTTAACTGAATGTGTTGAGTGTACTAAATGTTGACATTCTAACTAATTGTTAAATGTTGCTGTTGCACTAAAATCTGTAATAGCCTGATATTATTAAGTGTTCTAAAAGTAGAGCTTGCTCATATATAGCTTCACAGTACTAAATGTGTTGAGTGTACTAAATGTTTACTCTAAGCCTATAATATTACTAAAAACAGCATTAAACTGATAAAAATGCTATGGCAAAAGCGTACCACTTGTTGCACTTCACTTATTCTATAATATTATTGATCACATAATACTACGAAATGTGATAAATCTACTAAATGTTGCTTTATATTGATATTAGAATGCCTACTAGTACTAAATTTACTCATTGTGGTTTTCTATTGCTCTAGGATTATTATGTGATACGCGAATATCTGCTGCCTGGCTGGCTGATGGCCGTGCAGGGCTTTGTAACGATGTCATTTATCATAGTCTTCGCTGTGCTGACGCTGCTATCGCTCACTATCATTCGACTGCCTTTGAAGCCTGTGCTGCAGTACGAATGGCTGCTCGTGCGCATGTCCTACATAGGCACAGCCGTCTCCTGTAAGTAGATCGAGTTTCCATATATACATATAGCTAATCAGTATGCTTAACCTCTGTCAATTGTAGCGCTGTTCATGTTCTTGGCCGTTTGCATCTTTGGCGGCTGTGCTTATCGACGTGATTGGCTGATGTATCCGAAATTTAATGTGCTTGGCTGGTCGTACGCTCTGGCCGTGGTCACCTTTATGCTATTGGGTCTGGCTGCTCTCATACTACAGCGCGAAGCTCGTCAGGCCTACGAGGCACGCGGCGAGCAAAAGAATCTGGTGATGCAAATGGAAATGCAGGAGCCCGGCTATCAGCCACCGCGTCATCATCATAGCCAGTCGCGCAGCCTGCAGGGCTACATATAGTTGGCAACTAAAGACAGAAGCGTTATATATTCAACTTAACACTCAACTCGACTTCGATTCAATTCCATTTACAAGCCGTCCAAGCAGAACCTTTGCTGCAAACTGAATCTCTTCTTTTTTTATTTTAAACTAAGTGCCTTTTGGAATTTGTAGTGCAAATTTTGTTTAAATATTGTAGACTTAGCTATATCTGCTATATGTCAGTCTAACAACCGTCCTTATATATATATATGTATATATATAAATATATATATATATATATATATATATATATACATATTGTAAATCTGTCCAATTTGTCTATCAAATCAAAACTCGAATTCATACAGTTTATGCATTTATCTCTATTTACATTGATTGTATCTATAGATCTGCATGTAACTTGTATCGATTATATATCTATATATATTTATATATATATATATTCTCGATTTAAACATATCTATTTATACACACATATCCAAACATTTACTGTAAGTGCAAACAAAGTTTTACAACAAATACAATTCACAAAAACAATTGCAATTTTGATCGGTTTACTGACTCTGTTCATAGTTCTATTTGATATTTGATTTGATTTTTGATATATATAGTTGGTATATGAGTGTGTCATAAAACCATATTCTCCCTCTCGCTCTATCTGTTTTCCTTATCTGACCTCTGTCGTAATATTACTGATAGTAAAAAAACAATTGCCAATTGGAACTCTCGAACAACTCGATGCCTCCGTCCATGCCCATCGCGTTTTCAGTTTGAGCTACGCGTTGACTAAATTCGGTTGTGACACAAACAATAACAAACAGAACGAACTTAACTTCTTTTCTTTGTTAACTACTTTTTTTTTGTTTTGGTTTTGTTCTTATTGTTTCCTATGTTGATCTGAACGTTATAATGCGTGGACTGCTTTATCTCTGCTGTTGGCTAGTTGTTTCTGGAGAAATTTGTAAGATAAACAGTTCCAAGAATCAAATCTATACACACACACACACACACACATGTGTACATCTATAAATTATATATTACTAAATGAGTGTCAGACTTGGGCGTCGTCATAGCTAGCGGCGCTCTTTTCGTAACGCAATCGCTTGGATATGTCGTCTCTCGCTCTCGCTTTCTCCCTTTCTCTTTCTCCTACCTCCTACTCTCGCTCTCTTTCTTGGTTTAACAGTAGTTGTTTATTTATTCTCTTTCGCTCTCTATGATTCTCCAACGTTCACTTTCTCATATTTCTTTCTGCCTGTCTCCTTCCTCTCTCTTTCATGCCCTTTTCTCTCTCTGTCTCCCTCTAAACCTCTTTTAAGAATATAGATTAGATATCAATATTTATCCATCTTTCTTTTCTCTCTTTCTCACTGTCTCTCTCTCTCGCTCTTCTCCTTTTCTCAGACTCTTCGCGCTTAGCCATCTTTCCCGCCTCTCATTCCCCATTCCCCATCTCCTCCTCCTCCTCTCGCTGTCTCTCTCTCCCTATTGCATTTGCCTATATCTATGATGATTCATCATGGTTTCCTAGGGACTTTCCATGCGGCAATTAGTAGAGTATTTTGAGAACCGTTATCTATCTCGCTCTCTCACTCTACACCTTATGTAGCCTGCATATTAGTGAGATCTGCGTAAAGAAGAGAGGTGAACGTATAAAGGCCCATATTCATGTCTCAGTTCGAGCCACTCCCCAGGTCTCTAGAAGGGCAAAGGGAGATCATAGAGAAGTCCCATTATCCAGCTGGCCTACAGCTTAGCCAGCAACTTACTCCTCAGTTTCTGGAGTGGCCTTTAGTGGCAAGAGTAGAGAGATATATTGCATACGATAGATGATAGACAGCCCTATCTACGGAGATATCTGCTCAGTCTTCAAGAGTATTCCGACTTCGCCGTAGCGTAGATAAGTGCATGCCTTGATTGTTAATCATCGGCTGTGTCTTGTCTTGCTGCTGTGACAGAGCGGAAATTGACGTAAAGAAAAAAACTAACAAGCGTAATAGATACGGCGGCAAGGCCAAAGGCAGCGAAACTTTGCGAGACAGCGAGACAGCGGGCTTTTGATTACATGACTCGACAAGTGCAATAGGAACGACACTCGCTCCCCCTCCCTCCCTCCCTCTATCTCACACACTCTTGTAACTACTTCACTAATCTCTTTTACAGATGCTCAGCTGCCCGAATCGCGCATCATCAATGGAACTGTGGCCAGCGTCTCAGACACGAAGCATCTCGTTTCCATCAGGCTAAAGAAGAACGATCGCAACTTTGGCAGCGGACACATCTGTGGTGGCTCCTTGATAGGACCCAACAAGGTCCTAACAGCCGCCCACTGTTTGTTCAAGTGAGTAGGCGGTGGGACTTTAGGCACTATAATGAAGCTCTAAAGGAATTATAGAAAATGCAATACTATGGGATCTATAGAGAGAGAGAGAGAGAGAGAGTGAGAGAGAGGGGGGAAAGGAGGGAGAGAGAGAGCGTGGGAGCGAGGGTCTCATAATATCCACTCGTCTTCCTTATCCGCTTTTCCGCAAATATAAAGTAGAAGCCTTTGGGAAATAAAGGAAAATCCTCTGGTATATATAGATAGCTAATGCGCTTTATATACTTAAGCCCAGTATAAATTATATAGAGAAAACCCTGATGGATAACCATTACCTCCAAGCGTCTTATCCGCATATACATCTATACAAAGAAAGCCATCTGAAAAGCGTAGAGGAGTAGACCTTGTGGACGACCTGACATATATAACCCCCTCTGTCAACCTTCTAATTACATTTCCCGCTCCGGCTTACCTTATCCGCAGCACCTCAAAGAAGCGCTATCGAAAGGCAAAGGAATTCGTTGTCGTGATGGGCACACTCAATCGCTATGAGCGCAACACTGGTACAATTGTTTCCGATGTCAGCTCCATTGCCTACATGAACACATTCACCACGGATAGCATGCGTGACGATGTGGGCGTCATGTTCCTGCGCACTGGCCTGCCCGTTAACAGCACCCATCCGACTGTGGCGCCCATACAACTAGCCACAGAGCCGACGCCTTCAGGCGTTACCTGCCAAGTCGCCGGCTGGGGACGCACTGAGCAGGTGAGCGTAGGATATGTATTCATCTTATTCATCTTATCCATCACTTATCCAGCTATTATACAGCTTATCCCATAGCTCTCCAACTTATCACCCATTATTGCCCATCTTGTCAAGGTACTCTTATGGCTTATCCATCGGATTCACTATTCCATTGATCAGCTACCGGCTAATCCCAACAATTTATCCATCTTTTTTAATCCCATTGCAGAACACGCTGTCGAATGTTCTGCTCACTGCCAATGTGACCACGGTTCGCCATGCAACCTGCGCCACAATCTATTCGGGCAGCCTGCTTCCAGGCATGCTCTGCGCTGGGCGGCTGCGAGGTGGGACGGACTCGTGCCAAGGCGACTCCGGCGGACCCCTGGTCTACGAGGGCCGTGTCATTGGCGTAGTCTCTTGGGGCTATGGCTGTGCTGAGCCGGGTCTGCCTGGCGTCTATGCGGACGTTCAGTATTACCGTCAATGGATCGAGGAGCGTAACGGCAGCTCCGCTCTGACAGCGCCAAGCCTTAAGCATTTGCTTGCATTGTCGCTCGGCTGTGCCGTTTGGCTGTGGTCAAAAAGAAAATAAAATATGTTCTAGTAGTAGTTCGACTAGTTCATGGGTTTACATTAGCTTTAAGACGTCTACTGGCGTTCCGAATTTTCGGATAATATATAGTCGGATATCCGGATAACAGTTGCGAACAGATATCCGAATAGATGAATGACTGCCCTACAATTGTGGATACCTATTACCTCACCCAACTGGCTGTTGCAGATTGCTTTCCGGATAATCGAAAATCCCGACTAACAGTTATTCAGACGCTTGGCCGAGAATGTGGGGATTTTTAGATTAGCTAGAATTTGCAGAGGTTTTAATCAACAAGCAACATTTATTTACAGTCAACACACAGATAAACGAGTTAACGGAATAAAGTTTTTAATATTTACGGTAAGGATAACCGGATGCCCTGTTTAGTTGGTGCAAATAGTTTCCTGGATAGCCGGATGGTACTTCCAGCGATTGCTTCTTTCTAGCTCCGTCTACCAATTAGGGAAAAGTAAACGGATCCATTTAGAAAGTTCGAATTGTTATCCGGCAACCCGGACAGCCTTAGCAGTTGCAGTTGCGATTGCGTCGAGGGGTATTCCCATTGGGTTGATGCAGCCTAACCACATCCGGGCCGTAGGCGATGTTGGGCAGTCTCCGGGACTGGGCCATCAGCAAGGTGAAATCACGATTGCAGACAGCATTCTCAATCCGCTCCATAACACGGCCAACGAGCAGCTCCACAGCCTGCTGAATGTTGGCCCCAGTGCAGGCGCTCGTCTCGATATAGGGCAGACGATAGCGTTGAGCCAGAGCGGCGACCTGCTCCCGGCTAACGACGCGCAACTGCAGCAAGTCACATTTGTTGCCACAGAGCACTACGTCCGGGTCTTCTGTGTAGGCGTGCATGCGCAGCTGTTCCAGCCAGTTGGTGATCTCCAGAAACGACTTCTGGCTGGTCAGATCGAAGATGAGCAGAAAGCCCATCGCATCCCGATAGAATGCCGTTGTCAGTGAACGGAAGCGCTCCTGTCCGGCCGTATCCCAAATCTGCAAATGGATGCGATGTCGTCTGCCACGCGAGCTGTAAACCTTTGAGAGAGAACAAATAGATAGGAGATTCGATTGGGAGGGAGCTAAGAGTGATGCGAAGGCGCTCTCTCACCAGCCGCTTCTCGCGAAAGTCGATGCCAACGGTCGATATGAATTGCGTGTGGAATCTTCCGTCTGTGTATTGGTAGAGCAGGCAGGTCTTGCCCACGCCGGAGTCACCGAGCACCAGGAACTTGAGCAAATAGTCGTAGTCAATGTTGGCGGTCGTCATTCTGCCAACAGCTGTCCTTCACCATTCCAGCATTCTGTTAACAAGAGCGAAATGGGAAAACCCTGCTGTCACAAGAACAGTTTCCATGGAGTCTGCTTTAGTATTTACTGGACTGGTTCTATGGGATAGAAGGAGGGAAAGGGAGACAGGGTGACAGAGGGAAAGAGAGAATGCCAGAAAGAGAGGGATACACAGAGCCAGAGAATAGAAGAGAGAGAGAGAGAGGGAGAGAGAGAGAGAGGGAGAGAGAGAGGCGAGAGAAAGAGAGAGGCAGACGAAGGAAAGAAAGATGAGAGAAAGAAAGATAGAGAGGGAGCCAAAGAGAGAGAGAAATACAGACGACCTACTATTTACCTTTCGGATAAATCTTTGCTAGAGCAAAAAGGAACGAGAAGAGCAAAGAGAAAGAAATCTGATGTCCACAGGAGCGTGAAAAAGAGAGGTTACCCCAGCTGTCCTTTAGGCTATTTCCTCTTAACGAAAGGAAACACCAAAATGGTTGCTGCTACAACAAAAAATAAATAAAATTAATAGTTGCAAGCCGGATAAGACTTTCAGTGAGAGAAGGAGAAAGAGAATGCAAGTTTCAGGAACTGCTGTCCTTCAAGTCAGGTAGCGGTCAAGCTGCGAGGACAAACATGACTGAGAGCAGCAATTTCGGATAAAGAAGAAAAGGATGGAGCAGACAGGAGGAGAAGGAGATACGAAGCTGTTGGCAAAGGGAGGAAGTAAGGGGAGAGCAGGGTCCGCTCGAAGGCAGAGCGGAAAGTGACCCAGCGCACGCTGCCGTCAAATATGTCCCAAAGAACAAGGCAGAGAAGGACCAAGGAGGGAACAGCAGACAGAGGTAGACAGTTGGGAAGCTGCTGTCAAATATTTGCAAACTCATTAAATCTAGATTTATTGATTTTCTGTCTGTAGCGCCCGAAGCGCCGGCTTATGAAGTCTATATTCAAATGTAGATTGAATATGCGTATGGAAATATGTTCTCTAGCTGTATGTGTGTGTGTGTGTGTGCGAGTGTGCGTGTGTGTCTCTTGGTCTTGTATCGAAGGTGCTTTCGGCAGCTGGGGGTGGTGGGAGGAGATTGAGGCTACGCTTTGGCACGCACAAAAGTTAATTCAAAAATTTCAAAGCAAAAGGTATTTCCGAATATTGAATGCCCTGTCATAATGAGGGCGTACGCATTGCGGGCGTGGCAGACATGCCCAGACGCTCAATGTAAAGCGGCTTATGTTGGATCGCGTGGACTGCAGATGAAGCTGGAAGCTTAGCGTGGCTCAAAAATAGCAACATTAGAGACCGAGAGAGAGAGAGAGAGAAAGAGGGAGGGAGCCAGAGATAGAAAAGGCGGGGAAGTAGCAAATGTTTCTAAAGGCAAGTGAGAGACAAAGGGACGGGCTTTCCTTTTCAGCAATTCGAAAGGCGAGGCAGAGGGAGAGGAAAGCGGGCAGCGAGAGGAACAGAAAAGGCGAAGGAGGGATGAAAGGCAGAGGACAGGGGAGCTGGGATTGCTGAGCTCTGCGAGACAAAAAGCGGGAGAGGTGTAGAGAGAAGGGGAGAGAGAAAGTCGCAAGGAACGAGTGCTTTGAGGCGCGGTGTTGGCTTTTTAGGCAATATCAAATGCTAAGGAGAGAGGGACAAAGCGGGAAAGCGAGGAAACCTCATACTGCGCTCCTTATTTCTCTAATACAATAAGCAAATGCAGCTTATTAAGTAAAATTATGTTTTTCCTAGGCAACTAATTAGCAAAGAGCTTTGTGTGATTGCAGCAGCAACAGCAGGGACATAAGGAGAGGGAGAGAGATGGGTAGAAATTAAATGTACATATGAGTTCGAACTACAGTGGATGCTCGGCTAAGAAAAACAGCTAGCCAAAAGCTTAGCTGCTTACTTGGTTTTTTTTAGTTACATTTTTTAAAATTATTAAAGACTAAACTAAATTTACTCTGACTTAAATATGGAAAATAAAAGTCAAAACCAATGTCAAGTTTCACTAAAGACAACATCTTGCGGGCCTCTGCTACTTACTCAAGAAAATTAAGAAAATATGAAAAATAAAATTAGTAAAAATAAAACTATATAAAAAAATAATAATTATAATTCAATTCAATATTCAATTTGAACTCAACATAATTTTTGGCGAAAAACGTAGCACAGTTTTTGGCGCTTAATTCTTGATAGTTCGTAAAACTCTTACTCAAGATGTAATTGTGTTGGTTGTCCGCTAAGTAGCTTTCACTGTAGGAAGGCGTTAGCATACACGCACACATACATACATGTAGATACATAAGTAGATGGGATACAAGTGAGCTGCACGTGTGTGTGCATGAGAGTGCCCGCAATTAAATAGCCAATGTATGTGTGTTATTGTGGGTATGTGATTTGTTGTGTGGCTACTTGTTGCAATTGTTGTTGGCATTGAATGCGAGGACGCTTGAGCAACTCTACACGTGTAACTGAATATGTGTAACTGTAGCTGTGTAGCTGTATGCATGTGTGCGTGTACCTGTGTGCGTTTGTGTTCGTATAAAAATAAGACACAGCTAATTGTGTTATGTGCGTGAAGGAGGCACAGTCAGCATAACTTACCTGGACTACGCATTGTAAATTTAAGAATTAAGCATTTACTTCAATTGTGTAAATGTATTTCCGTTATGATATGTTGGTTGGCGCGTAAATTCAAATGATTGTTTCGTTAATATCCGAAGGAAAAAACAAAAAAGTTACACTATTTCAATTGATATGTGGATGAGCTACTATGGCTAACAGTTATTTTTAGCACGTGCGCGATTTGTTTACAGTGCCGAGATACAGCATCTACAGCATCACAGACAGGACTAATGGAATGCGGTGCGTGGACAAACGCAAACTGTTTGGACCAAAAAAAAGCTTCAAAGCTGTGCGCGGCAGCCATGCCCAGAGATGTGCGCATAGAAAGCGTTCGATATTATCGATATTAACGATTACACTATTATTGTAGGAAATGCGGCGCCAGTAATGCCTGCAATGTATATCAAATTAATCGCATGCAATACGATACTTAGCTATCGGCCAGTCAATTGCTCAACAATCGATTGATTTTGTAATGAGTTCTTTTTGAATTTTTGAAATATAAGCTTAAGCAGCTGCTGGCCGCCCAAATATCGATAGGCCGCAAAAGGGCGCACATTTTAAATTTGTTTAATTTATGAGTATGAGCAACAGCGGCTGCTAATTTATTTTAATTCCTTTTTTTTAATGATATTTGATGTTTAATTAACAATGTTTTTATATTTTTATTTTTCTTTTAAGAAAAAAACACTTAGTTTTTAAGATTCATGCTGTAAATATTAAATTTTGTTTTGCTTTCTTTCATTTCATAATTTCTTTTCCATAGCAGATTTTTTTTTGTTATTTTGCAGCTAAATTGGATTTTTTCTCATTTCATTTTTATTTAATTTTTTTTAGGTTGTGATTCTCTTAGTTTTTTTCTACAGCTGACATCAAGTACATTTTTGCTCATGATTTTGCTTATATGCGTTTATTTTATTTTATTTTTCTTTTTTTGACTGTATTTCTAGGTTAAACATTTAATACGAAATCATGTCTATGAAAATACAGCATTCATAAATGTGTATATATAAATATATATATATATATATATATATATATATATATATATATATATATATATATATATATATATATATATATATATTCATACATATATAATTTTATATATAAATCTATATACCCTTTTTAATGCTTTGCAAATGTGAAACAAAAAAGTAAAATTGAAGTCGAAGCTTTGTTTTTTGTTTCGTTTTTATATAGTACATGTTTTAGACAATACAAATACAGATGTTTTGCATATATTAAAAAAAAAGTTTCATTTTAGGAAAAATTAAAAGTAATTTACATTTTGAATAGAAATATGCTAAAAACCCATAAACTGCATTAACAATGTGTATATATATGTGTGTGTGACTGGATGTGTGTGGGTATTTTTTTCTTAATTCATCAATGTTAATACAAATTGATTGAATGTTCTTTCCTTTTCCAGCTTATGCACAAGCATATCGCCAATAGAAGAGCATGTGTATGTATGTATGTGAGTGTGTAGACAAGCCGAAGCATTTGCTTGTGTTAGTTGCAGAAGTGGTTTCTGCCTAGTTATTCTCTTATAGGAATTTTGCAACAGCACAAATACATTTGTATTATTTATTCTTATTACTTTTTTATTATGTTTATTACAGTTAATGTGTATGTATGTATGTACTTTTGTTTTTTTACTTGGCAAATGAACCGTTAGCAAATCCAAAATGACTTTAAAAGTAAATGCAAGTGCAATAAAACAATAAAATAAATTTTAAATATAACTTTTACACCGGCAGACAGAAAAACAAATGCCTTTCCCCTTTCCTTTCCACAAAAAACCATTTATAAGTGAGTGGGCGTGCGTGCGTGTGTGTGTGTGTGTGTGTGTGCATATAAATATATGTATCATGTTTGTGTGTGTGTGCTGAGGCCATGCAGTGAATATTGGTGTAAGCAGCAACAACGCACGCGCAACGCCGCAATCAACATAACTGAATTACAGCGTGTGAGTTGAATATAACAATAAGAGAGTGAGAGAGAGCGAGACGGCATGCTAAATACTGCATGCATATGATCGACTTGCTGCTAGCTGTTTGCCGCGTGAACGGCAGAGAGAGACAGATTGTTAATGAATGAGTGTATTGTGACGTCTCTTAACGGTTCGCGACAGGATTTGTTATTTTTTGTTTTGTTTTGTTGTTGCTATTGCTTTTTTACTTTTGCGATGCAATTTGCATTTTTGCTTACGGTTATTTTTGTTTTTCTTTACTTTAACAATTACGTTATCTAAACACGTGTCCTCTATGTGTATGTGTGTATGTGTGTGTATATATGTTTACATAATTTTGGTAGTTTTCGATGGCCAAAACAAATTACAAATTTATTTCTTGCTCATTTGAATTTATATTGTGGGATTTGTTGTTGCAGTATGAACATAGTATAACATAATATTATTTTTAAGTTCAAATGAGCAAATATATGAACCAATGATTGAAGGTTTAGAGAATTGCCACAAATGTTTGTTTTTGCTTTTTCCTTTCTATGTGGCTGTTGCGGCTGCTGTTGTGTTCGTTGTTAATGTTGTTTTTGTTGTTGCTATTGTTGTTATGGCATTTAGAGCAAAAACTTGCCCAGCAACAGACCCAAAAAGGCGGCAGCAATTGCAATGGCTATATAAAAGATCGGAATCTGTTTCTCAGCCAGAACTGGAGCATAGGGCTCATTGATTTGCTTGGCGGCCGGAGAGCTCCGATAGCGTGTGACTTGATCCTGTATTAAAAAGAATAGACAGAATAGAATAGACATATATATATATATATATATATATATATATATATATATATATATATATAATATACAAGGCCTTTGCTTACCTTCAAATGTAGATTCTCTTTTCGCAGTTCACCGTTGAGGTCACGTAGCTCCCTAAGTTCAGCCGTCAGGGCTTCGGCATATTCCGCATCGGATAAGTTCGATGACTAAAAAAATTGATGTGAACTAATCGATGTCTTAAATATTTCACACACACACAAACAGACATACCATTACAGTGGACGCCACAGTTGCATCGCTCTTCAGCGCCTCGCCAGAGCTGAGAGATGCCGGCGCATTGCTGCCCCCACTGCCGCCGGCACTGGCAGAACCGGCACCGCCTACGCCGCCGCTGGCACTATTATTCTCTGGATTCGCCTCGATGGGCGGCATTTCGAATACGCACTTAAGCTTGGCATCCATAAGCTGTTCCGGTTCCAGTTCCTTCCACTGAAATCGTAATTAAAAGAAGGCAAATGAAAGAGAGATACAGCTGAAAGGGAGTCCCATCTGCTTACCAACTTGTTTAAATCAGTCAAATCGGCATCGGGCGGTGCCAGCACACTTTGCACCATAAACTTGTGCTTGTTCTTTTCCTGCTGATCGTACATGAAGGGCTGCAGGCAAACTACAGGCAAAACCCAAAAAGAAAAACGAGATAAGAAAATCATGCTTATTTTAAGACGCATCACTTTACTCACTTTCCACCTGCGTCGTGCGATAAGACGGAATCTTTCCAATATTTGGACGCACACAGTAGCGCTTCGGAGCGGTGGTCTTGATTTTGAAGACCAGTGTCCTGACCGATTTGTTTTTCAAGGTCATGATTGTCACCACTGGTCGATTGAATGGACCTGCAAGATTGATAAGAAAATAAATATTTTAGTATGTATGTATACGTAAGTATAGTTGTCAACAATGTCTTTAGTTTCACTTGACAACAATTATTTTATTATTAATATTTATACAAAAAAGTGCGATGCACGCCCACTGTCAATAGAATTGGACTTCATTTTGAAATAAGATCCCGTTGTAGCTTGCTGTTGTATTATTTCTCTATCGCTTTCCCTGTCCTGCCTTTAATATCATCTTTAAAATTTTCTAACAACTAGTTTGGATTTCACTTTAAGTCAGATCCCGTTTGTTTAGTATCTTTACTCTTTCGCGCTCCCTCTTGCCCTAAATATCCTTATTAAATTTCCCTAACAAGAAACCCACTCGCATAAATGCATAAGCGTTGTCCTATTGCGTCATTCCAATTGGGTATATTAGCTATGTGCGAAAGCTGTTTTTGTGTGCTTAAAATATTTGATGATTTCGTAAGCTGTTTGGCTTCATGCTTGTTCATGTGAGCTATGGCTGGGTTTTCGTTTTTTAAATAATCCAAGTATATAATGTCTAGCAGTATATAGACAGAGTCCGATGATTTACTTGTCAATATAGAATATTCGCACCTAACCTCATCAAGCAATTGCATATTTCTTCTTATAGGGTATTTTAATGTTTGTGCACTTTAGGGCCATCATTTTGGCTTCTCATGTCAAATTAATTGAATTAAAAGCAAACACGCACGTAGCAAAGCAAAGCAACAAAACTTTTTTGGTGATTCTGATTTGGTTCTATTTTGAAGGGAAATTCATTCAATAAGACAGCCGTATGAGTGTTATATAGGCCACGTATGTATAAATATATATGTATGTTTGTGTGTGGACAATCTGTCACCGATGATCGTTGGGGAAATAGTTAACGGCAGGCGACACATGTATGCATATGCGTATGTATATATGCGTGCTTATATACATATATATGTAATATGCGCTAACACATGTTCAGACATGTGCACAGTGGGTAAAAACGAACTACGTGGTCAACATAAGAGCCAAGTGTCCATCTTATATAGCTTTTACTGCATGACGGTCCACTGTGCGCGCAACACAAATCAAAGTGTGCTGTCATATGCATTGTTGTTGCCATTTGGCCAAAATTCAAGTAAAAGAAAAACAAAAATGGCTCATGAAAAGCTGTATAAAAATAAAATTTTAGCCAAAAGACAGACGGACTGACTAAGGCAACGGCAAAGGTTTCAAGGGAGAGAAAGAGCGCGCGCGAACGCAGAGAGCGACCAAGAGCGGCGGCGTTTCCAAAACGAAAAAGACGCCACGGCCGCTGCCGCTGCTGGCAGCAACATGCCAAAACAGCCGCACACACGTACCTTCAAAAATATGTCAAAAAAAAAAAAAACAAAAGTAGAATAAGAAAATAAAAAAACTAATACAACAAAATTATTGATAAGGTGTGTAGAAAAAACGCACAGTGCAAAGTGAATAGGAGAGAGAGAAACATGTCGGCAAAAGCGGCCCTGTGTCAGTTGTGTGTGTGTGTAGGTGAGTGCGTGTGAACTTTGCAGTTTGCTCATTCGACCGCCGCAATTGACCAGCGGCAATGTTTACAATACGCATTCAGCTTGCCCATCGCTGGCTACAAAAAGTGATCGATATGCCGCCACTCACACGAGAGTGGCCTTCTCTTTGTCAAGTCCAAAACAAAACAAATGCAAAATGCAAATGCATAAATGCAGTTAAACACGTACATATGTAGCTGGTACTGTTGCCGCTTCTTCTTCTAATACAAATTCACACAGGTAGACACACATATATATGTATATATAATATATTGTATATATATATATATATATATATAAATATATATACATATACTTACCAACAAAGCGCAACTCATGCTCTGGCTCAATTGACAGCGGAGCTTCGAATTGTGCTGTTTTATTCATTTTTTGTGGTTGCTGTTGTGCTGCCGCTGATAATAACTATATAGTTGTTACCGATTCCTGTCCGTTCTCAAACTTGCTGCTGGTGCTGAAGCTTCCTGGCGAATAATAATGAAATAAATGCAATTACTTATGATTACATTTTTGCTCACTTACGTTTTCTGTGTCTCTCTCACTCTCTCTGCGTGTCTGTGTGTGTGTTCCTTGCGCTATTCTGTTTCGGTTTATGGAAATACTTTATAAGATTCGAATTCGAATTTTAATTCGGATTCTTTTTTTTTAGCTTAGCACACTTTAAAGATTTTTGACTCGACTCGACTCGACAAATTTTGCTTTCGATTTCGCTTGTTTTTTTTCTTCTTCACTGCGCTTCACGTCGTCGTCGCTCGTTCTTGTCTTCGTCGTTGCTCTGGTTGTGTTTGTGTGTTGTGTGTCTGTGTGGCCACCAAAAATATCGGTAAATGTATGCGCAAAAAAAAATTAAATACACGAGGTTGCTGCGTGCGAAAAAACCGACGATCAACGTGTGTTGTTTGCAATTCACGCGAGCCGCTAAATATGCAACGTGTGTAAAATAAATGTTTGGCTTTCCTCACTGACTACGTTAATTCACGCACTTTTGCTTCCGTACTTTTCAGCAGCAAAATTTTCGTATGCAAAAAATCCGTCACCGCCGTCATGCATGTATGTACGTCAGACGCATGCGTCAGCCACATAGCGTACCAGACCAGCCGGCATTTCAAGTTGCCAGATCAGCGTAAAAATAGTGCGTGCAACATCTTATTCGATATAAGTTTGCAGCGAATTTAAATTCTAAATGACCACTAAAATAATTAATGAGCAATTTGTTTTCCAATAGATTCATATAGAATATATCTTTATTGACATATTTCTGTTCTGTTCTATTTTTTGTGTTTCCGTATTTATTGAATGGATTTTTTTGTTAATTCGTTGCAACCCTGTGTGCAGTTGGCAGTACGACGGCGAATTCAAGGAATAGCGTAAAGTCCGACACTGCATCCCTCTGCCGACAAGGTGGCAACATATCAACGGCGAATTCAGCAACAATTCACATCACATCAACAATTCGCCATCATTTGAATTATGTATTTATGTTCATCTATTATATATTTCTTTTTATATAATGTGTCTTATGTATATATATGTTTCATTCCAATTTAATTACTGGTTATCATAACAGCCCTTGTTGCGTAAGCGCGAATCCAATGGCGCCATAATTTAAATTCCTACTGACAATGTGTAAAAATGTGAAAAATTAGGTGTAATTAATGATGCATAACATTTAGTGAGGTGTTAGGGCTAAAGTTTGGCTAACGTATTGAAGTATGAGTGATTTGCTCGTTATGCCACTTGGTCGAAGCAAAATTTTCAAATTCGGAATTGCGGCGAGCAAATTTTCGGGTTTACGAATGTTGGGTGTGCGTAAAATGTGCTCAATTAGACGCGGATAATCGCTTGGCTTGGCATGATCAATCAGTTCACGATTGAGCACCTGCATATAGCACTTAAATATAAAACTATATGCATGGTGGGCCTTTGCCGAGCCCAATTTGTTCACATGTTCTGCAATGCTCTGCAAAACAGCTGCATCCAAATGATGACGAATCGAGCTGCGCAGCAATTGGATTGATTCCACAGTCGATGAGTGACTAAGCAGCTGCAAGAGTTGAGATTTAGTACATTGGATATAGTATGCGCGCCCTAGCTTACTCTGGTATATTCGCTTACGGAACGCTTCTCTTCCATCAACAGGAGCAGCTGCTCGTCTCGCCACAAATCTTTGTGCTTCACCTTTTGAGCAATCAGCGAGCGCAAACACCCACGCAACTCTACAGGGAATACAACAGTTAGGCAATTGAACATTTAGTTTGTCTACCTGTTACCCACCTGCATTGCCGGTTATAGCTCTGGCCACATATTTTATATAGTACTTCATAGTTAGGTCCAGAGCTGCGATGCGCGTTAGATGAAAATGCTCCAACTTATCTCTTAGCTGATCCATGCTTAGGACTATCTGAGACACTAGCTGCCAGTTGCAGCTTCTGTTATTGTTAAACGAATTGTGCATAATTATTTGTGCCTTGGCCAGCTGCAGCTGCTGGCGAGCGCGACGTATGTCCTTCGTGACATTCGAATGGCTCTTGCCACTTGTCTTCGACTTGGACTGCATCAGTCGATTGAGCTGCGAACGCTTTGCCTTCAACTTATCCCTGGCGCCCTTTAGCAGCTGCTGTTCCACAGCATCCAGCTGCAGCAAGATGAGCAAAGTCTTCTCCACAGCCGCATAGTTTCGGGCCGTTGTATAAGTGGCCATGGCCGAGCTCAGGTCGGCTAAGAATCTCTCCTGACTCTGCTTGAAGGGCAGCTTCTGTTGCTGCAGCATCAGAGCCGGAAGTGGCATGCTGCCGCTCTGCAGCAGAATGGGCTGCTCATAGAGACGCAGCAGCAACTCCGACGAGGCTGTGGCATACCGCGAGTTGGAGCACGAGCACAACAGCTGCGCGTCGTTGAACAGACTCTGGACAGTCGCCTCTAGGTAATACATCGAGTGGGGCATACAACGCTTGATAATTCTTAAATAGAGAGAAGCAAATCTGGAGTGCTTCATGGCCAGTTGGGCAAAGGCCAGCCAGGTCTCGTGTGGCTGCTCGAAGCATAGATCCAGAAAGGTATTCATCGGGAAACTCTCGTTGCAGTAGCTCAACTGATTATAGAAATAGATTCGGCGTGCAACATATTGTGGCAACACAAACGAGAAACGTTCTAGCACCTGCAGTTGATCGCGCTTCTCCAGCAAGTGCAACTTTTGCTGGGCATTCGTGATGCTCTGATAGATGGGCAGCAGCAGCGAGTGTATGAGTTCGCCATATGGAGCATTCATATCCTCCTCCTCATCGTCATCATCATCATCTTCATCTTCATCCTCATCTTCATCGTTATCACCTTCGTCTTGCTCCTCGGCATTAGCTAAGCTTGCATTGCTCACTGTATCTAGTTCCATTTCCTCATCCTCTGCTTCCAGCTTTGGCTTTGACCCATTTGTTACGTGTTTCTGCTGCTTTTGCTCACTTGGCTGTGCAGAATCCGCCTCCATGAGCTCAGGTGCCGGCTGCTTGACAGATTGCTTCATCGGCTGCTGCTTCTGGTCGGCTTCATTCGGCTGCTCAGCGACATCGTCCAATTTATCCTTCTTCGGCTCCGGCTCGGAGTTCTGTTCCTTCCTCTCATGTTCTTGATCCTTCTTCTGCTTTTGCAGCTTCTCATTTGCTTTCGGAGCAGAGCTGACGTGGACTTCCTCCTCATGCTCTCGCTTTACCTGCACTGGAGACTCCTGTGTCTGCTCCATTTGCTCATCCTCCTCCTGCTTCTTGTCATCGTCTTCAGCTTTCTGCAGCTGCACCACTTGGCCCAAATGCTCCAGCATTATTTCAAGATGTTTTGCATTCAGGAAACGTTTGTGCTTAGCCAAACTCTCGACACACTCAGCGTTGCCAAAGCAAATGGACCTCGATAGCAGCTCGTCCAGCGCCTTAGCCAGCTGCTCATCATCCACTTTACCCGATTCGCCGTCCAACAAGCTGAGCAGCTCACCCAGGCTCAAGGCAGCCAAGCACTGCTCGAAGCTCTGGGCGCCATCTATAAAGTTTGTTAGCTGCGAATTGAGCGAGTGATTGAAGAGCAATTCTTGCTCCTGTTGCCCAGCAGCCAGCAGTTGGGTTACCTTCAGGCACCTGTTGCACACCTGCGCCTGTAGATGAAACAACAGCTGATCGGAGGGAAACTCCTGCCAGCTCATATAGGTATCCACGCTGATTTGCTGCAACAGCAATTGGACTACATCCATTAGTTTGTTGCCAAAGATTTGCAGCTGTTGCTGAGTTGTTGGCAGCAAGTCATTGACCGATTTCATGGGCGATGAATGCAGCTCATATATTGATATATAGTTGGGTGGCTCGGGCAGCTCTTGCAGGCTGCTCAAGATCTTGATTAAGACGTCGAGCAGCATGCACATTGCCTTACCCAAATAACGATTGCGTCGTCCGCTGCTGGGCAGAAAGCTGCGCAGACGCTCCTCGTTGAATAGCAAATGCCGCTGCAGTAGTGCCAAAGAGTTATCGATGATCGGCATCGAGTATCGATAGCAGATTGCATTAGTGACGGCATTAAGAGCACCGCCAATATATGGCAATGCCTCCATCTTGTTATCCACTAGATGATTCAAGACATTGTTTAAACAATCAAAATATTGAGCGGTCAGCCAGGTCGGAGCATAGGCTAAAAACTCGAAGAGAAACTCCTGGAGGCCACAGATCAACGCAACGCTCACAGTCACCAGCTGTGTCAACGGCTCCGGCAGCTGTTTGAGCAAATGCACAAACTGCGGATTCCATGCAGCCAACTCCATCTCCTTCTCCTTGTTGCCCATCGAGCTATTCAATAGCAAATACATTAATGTGCCGCGCAGCTTATCTATATCGCCTGCTGCATTCACTTTGACCTGCTGCTTCTGCTCGGCCTTAATCGAGTGCTTCTCCTCTATAACTAGCTCATGCTCCAGTAACACTTGCAGCACAATTTGTGCCACATTCTTAATTTGCTGCTCATTGCCTAAAAATGGCAAAAGGAAAATTTACAATGTGCAATAATTCAGTTGTTAAACAAAAACTTACCACTAACGTAATTGAAGCTGTGCAATGGCTTCACATTTGTATGATAGTAAGTTAGTCCACTGCGCAGTTGTTTGAACGCCTCGCAATTGTTTAAAGCGCGCAAATCTTGCATTTTCAAGCCGCTCTGCAATGCAAACGCCAAAACAATAATTGAAGAAAGTTCGCCGCACGCAAACAATACAAAAATAGTTACACAAATTAAAGACGCACTTTACAAATTAATAACTAGTGTATGAAATCACAACTGCCTACTTGGTTCGACACTTTCCATCAAAATGTAAAACAAATGCTTTCATTTATAAAACATTAAAATTGCGCACGCATTACAAACTCAGTTAAACAAAGTGGTTCTGGTTTGGATACGGCGTTAGCTTAACTGAATTCGCCGCAGGCAAAAAATGAAAAATAGGTTACACAAAAGCGATAATTTTTCAGTTTCTTAATACACCATGCTTGATTGCTGCGTGGATCAAATTAATTTGTAATATTTTACTTAAGTGTTTTTTTTTAAAGTTCATCAATTTCATAGAAAACAATGTCAGCTGCGCAATTCTGTTAAGTGCACGATTGTGACGTCATAATTGCATAAATTCGAGCAGCAAACAGCTGTGCAGCTGGCTTGCGGTATGAGACAAGTTCCAATAAGAAAACTGCCATACATTTCTGAACGCATAAAATGAATGCATTATTATACATGTAATCTGGCTTGTATTCATACAGTCTAATATTGTTTTCATACAAACAAAACCAGCTGCGCAATTACGTATCTGCAGATTTTTGACGTCATCAGCTCGCCAAAATTTTGTATTCGATACATTTAAGCGGCAAACAGCTGAGCTGCAGGTGGCGGCAGGCGATTATTGACAATAAGAAAAGGGCCGTCGTCTATCGGGCGGCCGTAACGCAAAGGCAAAACCGCGATACTACGCTGCGAAGAGCGTGTGTGCAACGGGGCAGACGATAGAAAAGAACAGAAATTGGGTCAAACACAATGCAAATGGACACTAGGTAAAAGCTAAAGCACTGCCAGAGACTGCAACATTTGGACGACTCGACGACAGCGCAGTGACTGCAGTTGGTTACCATGGAGTTGCGCGAAATGCGCGCCGCTGCCAACGCTAACAGCGGTGAACTGGGCGGCATTTGCATTGGCAGCTCAGCCGAAAGTGGCGTCCAGCGTATGCCAACCAAAGCGGATCTGTTCATGGAACAGCTGAATGCGACAAATGCGAAGAAGGTGGCGCTGCTGCTGGTGCTTGGCTTTGTGCTCTACCATGGCCTGCTCAACTGGAACTATGGTGCGTTATCGATTCTTTTTGGCCTATCGGAAATTGTCAAATACCGTTTGATTTCGTATTTTCTAGGCAGCGACTCCTGCCAGTGGCTGTTGTCCAAGGGTCGCTTCAAGGGCGACAACGAATGGCAGCCATACGGCTGCATGATGCACAAATACACATACACGTGAGTTTATACCTCTCAATACCCTGTAACTGTATTTTGGTAAGCCCTTTGGGGTTCTTCAAAGCAAACCATTTCTTTGATGTCAATATTTATATATATATCGGTATCGGTATCGATATCGATATTCCTCTATAGTTGTAAAGTATATATGGGGAGAAGTTGTATATATACACTTGAATCAGTTCATTAAATTTGGTACTCGGTCTTCTATTCTCAATTTACAAATTTTTTAATCAGTGCTTCTTGGCAAATCAAATGTATCAATTTGCAGCTTGAATTTCTTGGCGATCTCGCAATTGTCTAAATCTGTGCTACAATAGTAATCGAGTTTCTCGCAATCGATAATTATCGGTATGTCTAATGACCCTTATCATAACTGGGCTCTGTGTATGCTTTAGGGTATTTAAATATGATGGATGGCCAAATATACCCACTAGCACTTGTCGGCGTCCCCGCTCAATGGCTGATTCACCAAATGACAAATTCTTATCGCCTCACATTTCATTTGCATCTTCTTCTTTTGTAGCGACACGCGACGTTGTCTACGCTATTTGGCATTTTTTGGTAACAAGAACAATTTCGTCTTCATCGGAGATCAAAGCGTGCGACTGCTGTATCAGAGATTCGTGGAGCAGCTGCAGCTGCCCCGATCGAATGAATACGACAACAATGGCTCCACCTCGTCAAATGGAACACGCTTCGAGGATAAGAAGCTGCACATGCTGGCACAATATATACACGCCGAGGAGGTGAGTCCGGCACTGATCGATCGTCTCTATCAGCTGGAAATGGATAAGCGACTATCCTCGGTCTATGTGCTGGGCTTGACCTATAGCCAGCTGCTGGCTGGGAATGTCACGGAGGAGCTATTGCACCAATATAGCATTAATCTAACGCTGCTCGTGGCCCCGATTCACCGTCTGGTGGCACAAACATCGCGGGTGCTGTGGAAGCTGGCAGAGCGCGTGGACGAGGAGAAGTTGCCAGTGACGTGGAAGTTGGTGCTCAACGAGGACATCGATCGTCTGAACAATGTGGCGCGAAATGTCTTTCGATATACGGACGCAAGTGTATGGGAGTCGGCGTGGCATATAGCCAATGGCCTGCTGGACAATGCCATCGAGGGACATCGGCTGAGTGCGCACGGCCAGCGGCTGGAGGTGCAACTGTTGTGGAACATGTACTGCAATGACCAGATGAACTACAATGATGGCACCTGCTGCAGCAGCGCCGAGCCACATACGAGTCTGCAGATAGTCTCGTATGCTCTATTCGGTGTTTGCATTGTGCTCGTCTGTGGCATGTGCCTGCGCCGTTGGCTGCTTCATTTGCGTGGGCAAACGCTCTATGTGCCGCTGCAGCAGCACCAGCAGCAGCAGCAGGAGAGTCATCCGAGGGGTCAGTCGTGTCACCAGAGAGATCCCTCGCACTCCTTAACCTTGCTCATCAGCGACTATGGCACACCGTTGGTAGCGCTATCTCTGTTGGGCTTGATTCTCGCCTACTTCTATCTATGCGATCGAACGAATTTCTTTATGAAAGAGAACAAATACTATTCGGAATTCAGTTTCTGGATACCAGTGGCCTATGTCTTCGCCTTGGGCCTCTTCTTCACCGAGGAATCGGGCTTCACGAAAGTCTTGAATCGTCATCAAACGGATGAGCTGCGCGGCTGGATATTGTTGGTGGTGCTCATCTATTACATGACGGGAGCTCAACGGATTCTACCAATTCATATGCACATCAAGCTTCTAATATCTGGTTACTTCTTTCTAACGGGTTATACGCACTTCACGGACATCTGGCAAACGGGCGGCAGTGCCTCGATGTTTGTGCGCTTTTTCCAGGCGATGTTTCGCCTCAATTTCTTATGTGTTTTGCTGTGCTTCTGCATGAATCGTCCATATCAGTTCTATTACTTCGTGCCGTTGCTTTCATTTTGGCTATGCGTTATCTATTTCGTACTATCGTTGCCGCCTCGGATCACCTGCGCCTCGGTCGATGCATATCCCCTGCATTACCTCTATCTGGTGTGCAAGTGTATTGGATGCCTGGGCGTTATAACGGTCCTCTTCATGTCGGAAGTTTTCTTCGAACGGATCTTTGTGACGCGCCCGTGGAAGGCGCTGTTCGTGACAACCGACGATGACATTCACGAATGGTGGTATCAGTGGAAACTGGATCGATACACTGTCACCTTCGGTATGATCTATGCCGCCTGCTTTCATATTGCCCAGAAGTACAGCATCTTCGATGATAACAATCACGGCAATCTGTTTGCCCGTCGCACCTCGATATCGGTGACACTGCTCGCACTGCTGGGCGTTGGCATCTACACGTCCTTTTCGTTTCTGTGCCGCAACGTTCAGAACTGTGAGGAGATACATTCGTATATTTTGTTCATACCTATTATCGGCTATGTGGTGCTCCGTAATATTTCGGGCATCCTACGGACGCGCTATTCGACATTCTTCGCCTGGTTCGGCCGCATTTCTCTGGAGCTGTTCGTATGTCAATATCACATTTGGCTCGCAGCCGATAGACATGGTGTCCTGGTGCTATTGCCCGGCTTCCCCACACTCAACATGATCATCACGTCGTTCATATTCGTCTGTGCCTCGCACGAAGTGCAGCGCCTTACGCAGATCCTCCTGCCATATGCCGTGCCCAACGACTGGCGTTTGGTTATGCGCAACTTGGTCATCTTTCTGATTGTTCTCGTTCCGGTTGCCAGATCGGACGGCATGTTTTAAGTCACTGCCCCACATACCTTGTTCGTGGTGTCAAGCTCGGGGCATATGTGAAGGCCAAACCCTCCATGTATTCCCTTATTCATATTAATCACAAGTGAATACCTTGTATTTGGGCGTGTTTGTTTGTATATCCCTTCACAATGATGTGAGAAGCTAGCTTTAAGTACATTAATATAGATAACACTCTTGCACTTATGTATACCCCTTCTTAAGTCTTAGCCAGCTAGTGATCTGACGATCCGCAATTAAATATTAGTGTACCAGCTGGGTATATTAGTTTTCTTTGTGCAAATTTGATGCAGACTTGGAAATGTCTCAGAAGCTTATTCACTTATCGGTCAAGAACGTATATTATCTGTAAAACAGAGTATCGTGCAGTCGTTTTGCATCAAACACTTTTAAAATCTATCCCATTGTAAACTTTCTATTATTTAAATGTAGAACAGAGTATCGTGCCGTCGATCATATATATTTAGAAAGCTACATAACAATAAGATCTGAATGTATATTTAAACAAAAATAATTCATATTTGCAATGTCGATAATGTTATTAATGTAAAACTTAACTTAAAATATTTTAACAAACAAAAAAAAGAGTATTTTGCAGTCGACGAAATGTAATTACATCATTTCGCGATAATAATCTTTCCAAGTTTTTTTTCTTGTTTTCCAATGCTATTCCAATTCTACGTACTTAAAAATACGCCCACACACACTCGGACACAGACACACACACGTATATAAATTACGCTTTAGATTTAGGCAAACAAAAAAAGATGATATATTTAGCTTTCATAATTGCACAAAATTTACTTACTTCAAAGAACGGAGAGAGAAAGAGTAAACAAAAAATGTCCATCTCTCGTGCAGAAGCAAATTAAGATGGCCGCCATTCGCAAAGGGAAATTTGCGTGGAAGTCTTGCCTTGCAAAAATGTCCTTTGCCAACGGCGAGCGCAGCGAATTACGAATAACGAATTACTTAAGAGCGAATAGGAGAACAAGAGTAAGAATCTTAATATTTACCTATTTATGAAACAAACAAAAAAAGCGCACATAAGTCAAGTAACCTCAAAATGCAAAAGCAAGCTAAAAACCCTCGACTGGATGCTGAGAGCTTCAAGCAAGTTGTCTTACAGCAGCAAGGCCGCCATCTACAAGGCAATAGTTGTCCCAACCTTCGTATATGGTATCTCCCTATGGGGCTCCTCGGCGAAGACTACAAGGAACAAAATTCAGACCCTGCAGAATAAAGCACTACGCAGATGGACTGGAGCCAGCTGGTTTGTAAGAAACTCAGTCTTACATAGGGATTTAGCAATTCCCACAGTTGCTGAACTCATTGGGCGACACAGTTCAAGATACGCGGACAGACTTGCAGCGCATCCTAACCATCTCGCAAGCAACCTGGCTATAAACAACAATAGGCGAAGACTGAAGAGATCGCATCCTCTAGACAATATTAGAACTAATTAAGATAGTAGCTACAAGTGCAGAATAATTGGCATATCTGCCCTCCCATTAGTTAAGGTTTAGAGCTAAATGCGCTATAGAGTCTAAGACAATAAGCTGCAACAAAATAAAGAAATAAAAAAAAAAAAAAAAAAAAAAAAAAAAAAAAAAAAAAAAAAAAAAAAAAAAAAAAAAAAAAAAAACAAATTGAAAGAACTTCAGATAATTTAGAAATTGATCTGAACGCTTCGGCTGTTGAACTGGAATGAACGAATCCCAGTAAAGAATTCGGAGACTGTCAAAAAAAGTTAGCCCAAAATGGAATATTAGAAATGGAACGATAAAAACGAGAAAGTGGAACAAAGAGAATTCCAATTATGTAAACCTAAGTTAAGGTTAAAATAACAGAAATATGTTTCTCTGTATGTAGATAGTAATAGCAATAATATATATATATATATATATATATATATATATATATATATATATATATATATATATGTATGTGTGTATGTAAGCGTATGTAAGCGAATTTGTCACAAAAATAAATACGCGCATTGCTTAAGCCTTGATAAATTGAAACAAAACCTTAATAATGTATGTGTGTGTGTATGCCAAAGGAAACTATGAATTCGCCGTATGTTAAATGCTTTTGATCGCTGTGAATGTCACATAAATGCCCGCATTGCTGAAGTCCTGAAAAATGGCGTAGACAGGAAAATAACAAGAAGCAACAGCTGTAGAAAGTTAAGTTCATGTGAAGAGCTTGCCGTGACGTCACTCGCCTAATTAGAGGCGTGACCTCTTTGTCGCTGCGTCCTTTTTAAACTAATTGAGACGGCGACGCAGCCCGCTGCTAATAATATGCTGCCCTTGTTGCTCACCTGGACTGCGCGATGGCGATTGCGACTGAGGTTGCGAACACGATTGGGGTAGTGGTCAGAGTGGGGCGGATCATAACGCTAGTTTTATATAGATTCTATGTGTTATGTGTAACGTTAAATAGAGGGCGGCTTAGTGAGCAGTAGCAGTGTGTAGTTGCCGTTTCACTTGCTTCACTAATTTCACACGCAGTGAGAAAAGGATAGAGAGCGCAAAGAGCTGCAGAGCTATACAATATGCATGTATGTGTGTGTCGTTGTGTGGGTGTGTGCGTGAGTGTGACAATTGCATTGGTATTGCAGCTTCATTGTCATTCGATATATTATATATGTACAAACGCATGTTTGTATTTGCGGCGCAGTTTCTGTGTAGTGAATATGCATGGATATACATAGAACTATATAGATACGCATGTACGTATGTAACTGTAAGCAAATTGCGTCGCAATAGCAGCAGCGTTGTTATTGCCATTCTACTTGTTACACGCATTGCATGCAAATACAAAGTGAGAGTGGGAGAAGGAGAAAGAGACATGCTAGTGCTGTGGAGATTAATAGATGTGCGTGTATGTGTGTATATGCAAGTAGTGCATTTTTATTGGCCGTGCCAACCGTTTCACTTCATTCCACTCATTTCACTCATTTCTACACGCACCCACTTAAAAGTAAAGAGTGAAAGAGAGAGATGAATGCTTATATTCGGCTTCAAATTCAAATTCAAATCCAACTGAAGCTTTAAAAGCTCCCGCCAAACATCTACCTCTCACGCGCATGCGTGCTTTTTTTCTCCTGCTAATTAGCCTTTCGTATGCAATTTGTTGCGCATTTAGTTGCCACCTTGCAATTTCTATGAGTGTGGGTGGGGGTTGAGAGTTTTGCAGGTGCGCTGCCGCTGTCGCTAGCGCAGCGGCATCTACATTAGCTCTGTCTATGACATATGTCGTCCGTCGTCCGAATCGCCGACTGAATTCTGATTTCAAATTAAGTTGCCTCCTCTAGGCGTTCGGTCTCCTGACCGGACGCGCAATTGCCACTTCTAATTTCTGTGAATAAAAGTGAAAGTGACAAATAACTACAAGTTTTTTTTCAAGTGCAAGTTCACCTTGTGAAGGTAAATCGAAGAATAAATTTTTAAACAAATTTCGTTTTGATAAACAGACAAAAAAGTGAAAAATTTAATTTTTGGTTAATAATAAATAATTAATAATAATAATTTATTTTCATTAATTTCACACAAATTTTCTTAATTACTTTTCCATGACTTTTCCCATTTTATCATCATTTTCTTACAACTTTCTCACAAGTTATTCCCCATATTTCGTGTGTACACGCAAAGCAAGAAGAAGAGCAGCTTTAGCTCGAGCTATAAATAGAATTTTTCACGCAATGGCCTTCAACTGCAACTGCGACTGCAACTGCAACTACAACTGCGTTGCAACAACAATTTTCGTTTTCTTTCTTCTTGCAAAGAAAATAGTTAATAAAATAAATAATATGATGAATTAGCAAATTCTTTTCAAGTCTCAAGTTTCAAGTTTCAAGTACAAATTTAAACGGATTTTTCCATTACAAAATTTAATGAAAGAGATGGAAAATTTCTTATGTTTCTTAAATTTTATTGTTTCTTTAAATATATATCGCCTTTCCTACTTAAGTATATTTTATGAAAAATTATCATTAAATTTTCCTTCGGCCAAACAGTTAAGAAAAGTGCAACAAGTTCGCCTCGTGCAGTTTGAAAAGAATTTTCCCTTTTTTTATGCTTTCAAAGTTTTTAAACTATTAAATATAATTTTTTTATATTTTTTATGTGCTTGTGGACCAAACAAAAAAGTTGAGAAATGATTGAAAAAGAAGAGAAAAAAATTTCTTTTCCAACTTTATGTACAAAAAACGTAAACAATTTCTTTATATATATATATTCGTTATATTGCAAAATATTTTCAATTTGTTGCAGTCAGAAAATAAAATATTAAGTGAAAATACAAATTTTCCTAGCCAAAAAAAAAAGAACAAAAATCCAAGATATTTTATGAAGTTCATCAAATTTAACAAATTTCACAATTTTAGTTAAATTTGCATATTTTTCTATTTTCTATTTTATTTTTATTTTCGTAGACCCTGCGAAGTTGTTAGAAAAGAAAAGAGAAAGAAAGTCCAGTCTCTTCTATGAAATGTCCTATTTTAATTATGAAGCAACTATTTTAGATATTTTCGTTGTTGTTTCCAATCATATATTTCTTAAGCGAAATATTCCATAGTTTTTCTAGTCGAAAAATAGAAAAGAAATGGATCTTTCACTCATAGACTTATTATGCCAGCTTCAAAATCCTGCGGGCAAAGCCTTACGTCTAATATATTACATTGATAAGCTTTAGAAAATAAACAAATAAACCATATTTTCAAATTTATCTTTGGCTTTGACCATGGGAAAATTACGAAAAGTGCAAAAAGTACGTTTTGTTGCAAAGATTTTTGCAGCTTTAAATCTTGCTTCAAGTTCATTAGATTCTTATATAAATATTTATATGAATTTTCCACGAATTGGCTAGAAAAGAGAAGAGAAGAGAAGAGAAGCGGAAGAAGAGTTCATTAACTATTTTTTTACTACAAAAATGTTGTGAAAAATTCAATTTAATTTAATTTTATTTACATCACATATTTTATTTTTTTGAAACTTGTTTAATTTTTCAAATTTAATATTTTAATAATCCATGAGAAAAGTGCAACGATTCCGCTGCATTTTCATTTTCTTAACAATCGAATTTTTCACGTTTTCTCTTTGGAATCACCAAAAACATTCGAAGTGCGAGAAAAATATTTGTTAAAGAATTTTTTGCATAGTAAAATAAAAATAAAGATAAAGATAAAGAAAAGAAATGAGGGGGAAAGAAAAGAAAAAGGGAAATTAAAAGAAAAATGAAATAGTTTTTACATCATTTCTGTTTCACGAAATGTTAAAAAAATGGAAAAATTTAAAAGAAATAATGAAAATGAGTAAAAACAGAGAAAGAGAAGATTATAGAAAACGGAAAATAATAGAAAAACATAAAAAAAGAAAAGAAAACAGAACAAACTAGAAAAGCAAAGGAGAAAATATAACGAAAATGAAATGAGAAACAATAGAAAGCAAAGGAAAAAGGAAGAAAGAAAAGAAAAAAGGCAAAGAAAAGAAAAAGTTCGCATTGCTAGTTCCCCTTTAAAGAATGTGAACAATTTTCTTTTTAATTGTTTTAAAAATATGTAATTTCTGTAATAATAGTAATTTGTAAATTTATTTTAAATTTTTCTCCCAAGTTTTGTATAATTTTTCTCTGCACAGAAATTAGAGAACTAACGGTTTTAATATCTACTTACACTGCCGATCAACCTAACAGACTCACAATTTTTTTTGGAAATTGACGATTTATAAAGAAAGATAACAATATAACGTTAGACTAAAATTTTCTTATTCATTGCTCAATTCTTGAGTAACCAAAACAAAAATAAGCGCTCTAAGTTTTGTGTAAAATTTATAAAAAATTTTCTTTTTGAGGCACCTTAAAAAATCATTATTTTTATCGATCAACCGAATAGACTCAACACTTTAAACAAAGCAAAAATGACAAATTAAACGAAAATCTTAACTTAATTTTTAGAATTTTCAATTCTGATAATCATTATTAATAATTTAAAAATGGGTAAAGCCACCTTT